TTTAATTTGAAGTTTAGAATAGAGTTGAAGATATATATATACAAATAGAAAAATTTTCTAAGTGAATTATTAATATGGTCATAGGCGCACAGGGTGTGCCAGGTGTGTCATGGCATACCCCATGGCCTATGGAAGTGTGGCTATTTGCATGGCTAAAATAGTGATGTATAATCTATTTAGTTATGGCTATTTGTTCGACTTTTATTTAAATTCTTAACTCAAAATAACTTGCTAATTTTAGTGATTTTTCCATATTTTGTCAATTTTTGAACATTAAATGCTTATAAAAAAAAATTGTGACTAAGGATTTTTAATATTTTTCATCTGCCTTTGAAACAATATAGTAGCCTTCTATTAAATTTTCAAGCTTTCGCAACCAAAAAATAAAATTTTATTGATATTTTTAGAAAAACAACTAAAAAAAAATGGAAAATGAACCGATTTTGCGTAAAAATTCCTGTTTTTCCTTAAATTTTATGTTGTTTTTCCCGGCGATTGTGAAAACTACTGAGACATTTTTACTTTTGACCCCCCAAAGTACCAACTAGATTCACTTTCCTATCAGAAAAGCTACTGTTGAAGAAAATCCAAGCACTTTTACTGTCCTAAAACGTGATGACAGCCACAAAAAAAAAAAAAATAAAAAAAAAACACACATCATTGTAAAATCAATACATTCATCGTTTCACTCAGAATCCAAAATCTAATTTAGGACGAGTAGTTTATGAGTTATAAGTATTTAAAGTTTAGATGAGCAGAGTAGTGGATAAATTTTTTGAGGGGTAACCCCGTACCATTCCTCTCCGCCCATCAAAACTTTAAATACTTAAAACTCATAAATTACTCATCCTAAATTCGATTTTTATGTACCAAAATACTTAGAAAAATAGTCTGCTTTGGAATATGAAATTAAAACTCTATGTTGTCATTCAAAAAAGTAAAAAACCTTCAAAAATTACAAGTATTAAAAATATTTAAAAATATAATTTTTAAAAAAAAAGTTGTTTTTTAACAACTTGAAACTTAACAAAAAATTATTTTCAAAAACATTAATACTTTTTGAAATAATGAGTGTTCAATGATAAAATAATCACCCTGTATTGTGTAACCCAGTGGTTCTTAACCTGTGGGCCGGGGCCCTTGGGGGTCCGCGATACTCATGTCGGGGGTCCGCTGCAGCCTCAACACATAACATACATCAATAAGTGACTGAGTGCATTATTACAATATTATTGGATTATTATTATTTTTTTCATATATAATATGTAGATTCTACACCAAATAATGTTATTATTAATATTTATTAAGTAGGTAATCAGTTTTTATTGTTCATACGAAATGTACATGCGTACAGCACTTAGTCTCGGCAGTCTTATATTTACCAACACTATAATTGCAGTCGATCGATCGATTGATAGTATCGTACTCAATTATAGTTTTATATTACATTTTTATAAAAAATTAATTGTAATAAAAATATTTGGAAATGTGTATGTTTTGTTGTCACTAATGTAATTTTTAATATAAAATAATTATTATAATTTTGGTTATGATAACATGAGATGTTTTGTAAAAAAATTGGTAAGGGGGTCTGCGATTTCTAAAAATCTTTCATCAGGGGTCCGCGATCTACAAAAGGTTAAGAACCGCTGGTGTAACCAATTAATAAATTATACTCTAATAAATAATAATGAATTTGATTATTATAATATTTAGTATAGTTGTGAACCATTTACGTTAACAAATACATACAAATAATTTAATTATTTTATTGGATTTCATCATTGATTAAAGTATAATAATATACAAATATTATAAGTACTCACGACCTACTGTAACTAATTTTATTACAAACATTTATTTAAAAATTATAAGACGTTTATTGAATTATTATGTTATTTGTTAACTTTAAAAAACGGTAGGTAGGTACCTATAATTATTAATTTTATATTATCAAAAAAAAGTAACTTATTTTTAACCAAGTTAAGTTACTTTTATTTTATAATTAACTTGTAACTTTTACAAGTTAAAAAAAAGAAAATTAATTTAACTTAGGTAACTTACATTTTTCTATATTAACTTGACGAGTTAAAAAAAATAGTTAACCCCAGCCTTGCAATTTACAGCTTTCAGTTTGTAAATGATTTGAGCTGTTAATTAATTTAAAGCTGATATTATTAAAAGTATCAGTATTAAGTAATAAACTAATTATCATGATAAAAACAACAGGATATGATGGTACTATTTTGACAGCCGTATGCCCGTATCCTTCAGTAGGCACGTGACATAATGTGTATATAGTAATAATAATTTAATGACAATAAGATAATATGGTTAAGGAAGTTAAGTATTGCTCAGACTTGACCCAAATGTGGACTTGTGCGATCATAACATGTAGTTTAAATTGTGCTATGGACTATACCTACCATATTAGCATGATAAAATAAATTACTTCATCATGGACTACCTATAGAATAACAGAAAAAATAAGAAAAAATTGAAAATAGGCTAAATTAAATCATTTGTGGATGAATATTAGAGATTAGTATATGTTATGTTAGTTATTAAGGAGGACATACGAAATAAAATTGTGTACTTCATTATTAATAATAATTATTATATTATAATGTTATATTTACCTGTATATGTATATTATTTTTGATAGTGTTTCAAACTGTAAGTAATTTACGGTATGTAATGAAATTTATATTTAATTGACCTGTACTGTAGAATTTTTAATCAAGTTGATGAAAAAAAAAAACCAAAGCTAGGTATAGTAAATACGTAATATATTATACTATAATATAGCCACATACGTCGTGAACACGGACTAAGATATATCTCGTGAATGAGACATGAGTCAATGAGAACTGAGAAGTCAAAAATGTGAAAAATGTGCCAAATCATGGGTTAGGTTAGGTATGGCCACGATTAAAGATATACAGGTTGCACATCGCCCACGATGTAGAGAAGATAAGGTGACACCACTTGTACATATTCCGGTCGCAAATTTTCTCGGCAGTGTGGTAGGTAGCGCCACCATTCGCCCGAAGGCCGGTTTTTATATTGTGAATACATTGTTTTTAACGTAAAATTTCAAAAATTATATACATTTTTGTCGTTTTTGACACTATTACTTCAAATTTATAATATTAACCACGTAAGAATTATTTTTAGGTAATCATTCTATTCAATTAGGTAACATTTAAAATAGTTTAAATTAAGAAAGTTTTATTATATAAGTATTTTATTTCAACAACTTTATGTACACGGTTATATAAGTTTCGACTGCTTCGCTAAATTTTTTTGTCTTTTATTTTTTTCTCGATTAGCATTCTCTGCATCACATACAAAATACATTCTTGATTGTAAATAAAATGTTATAATATTTTTGGTCAATGCATTTGCATGTTCATCACAACCGAGTAAGTTAATATAAAATTTTTCTGTTCTTAGCTCATCTAATATTAAAAATAATAAATTTTTTTGGATTTTAGTTCTTGCAATAATTGAGCAAATGGCATCTTCAAGCTAAAACAAATAATAAAGGAAATTATTATTAGTTAGTATACAAATATATTATACATATGCAAATTGTTTGCATATTTATATTTATAATATATATTTATATATTATATTATTATATTACTTGGTAAATAATTTCATAAAGTTTTTTAGATGGTACAAGTAAATAACCACGAGTTTTCAATTCTAGGAGTTTTTCTCTATCTTGTACTTCATGATTATCTGGGGCACACAACATGGTGTAACATTCCTGACAACATTTGGCAGGTTTTACTCTTCTCATCTTCCTTGCAACATAACCACTTAATACAGTTAAAGCATCTTCATTTATTTGGAGAGCAGTATAGTCATGATCAGCTATTGAGATCAAATTATCGACTGGTATTTCATGAACATTGTCGAGTATGTCATCAATTTTATTTTCAAAATCAATCTTTTTATTATAATTTTCATCACCTATTACGTCCTTCATAGTTGTAATTGTCTCTAATAGTTCTCCACCAGAGACATTACTTCCACGAGGTGGTCTTACTAGAGCATATGTTGAAAGTAATCGAAAAACTTGTATGAACAATATTGAGTCAGGATGACAACTCGATCCACACGCATCTCGTACACTTCCAAAAAAGTGCTGCAAAAATTAATTTATATTAATTGTATGAATTCAACCAACTAGGTAAATAATATTTTTTTAATCATGTCATGATTTAAATTATTTTATCAAAATAATGATGTATTCACTTCTAGGGTGTCTTGATTTATTCGTCTTGTTAGTAAATATTTGAATTGAAAATTGTCACTTAAATATTTCACCAATTCAAGTGCTGTTTTAATTGTGACACGGAGGCCTAATGCAGTCGATGAAGTTAATTTCCTTTGAGATGTTGTATTCATATTATCCAGTTCATCAAGATAAATCAAGAAATCGGAGAGAACCTAAATTATTAATAAGGTACATAATATTATACATAGCCACATGCCCACATAGGTATATAATATATTAATTAAAATGTCTTATTGTACTTAATATTCATCAAAATAAGTAGGTATGTGTCATAAATCATTAAACTATTTACTTTGTTATGAATTGACTCAGGATCAGGCCTTAAAGCATCTTTTGGAATTTGTGAATTCATTGCATCTACAACTTGGTCTATCCTTTTTACAAATGCAATACTTGCTTCACAGTTATTCAATTCTGGAACTTTATCTTTATAATATTCCATTGCTGCAGCCACTGATCTACTAAAAAACTTCAACAACAAATAAAATATAAAATAATAAAAAAGATTATAATACATTATTTAACAGAATTTGAAATTAATACAGAAATAAAATAGTTTTTTATCCTAAAACATATCATTCAAAAATACAATATTACTTAATTTTAATAAGTACCTGAAATGCCATTTTGACATTCATGGTTTGAAAATGCTTTGGGCGAATGTGATCTGCTGTTAGTTTATGACATATTTTTATTTGCAATGAGGAAGTTTTCTATGTAGGTCACTTTTAATTTTTAGTTTAGAAGCAATAACTTTGACTCTTGGTTTTTTTTTATATTTTCGTTGGTTTTTTCTTCTTAATTCGCTACAATTAATACACCTTATCTTTCTTTTAGAATTTTTTGCTAATGACAGATCTTGTTTTACATAACCAATACATTCAGAAGATAGAAAGCCGTTCTCAGTATATCCAGTGCAAGGAATTAATTCATCAATTGTTCGTACAAGTTTTTGGAGATCTAAATTACATTTTATTTCTGGAAATTCAACTAGCTTTTTTGAAATATGTACTATAGGTATACAATTGTCAGTAAATACTATAGTTTTATCACATTCTAATTTCAAATTTAAATGAGCAAGTATAGTTTTTCCTGGAGAAGTGTGAATCCCCCACATGGTTCCAGGAAGAGGAATAGTTGAGGCCTCTTGGTGCAGAATTCTAATGTTATATTCAGTTTCACTTTTCTCTTCATAATCTAACACAATATTCTCATCAATCTTTTCTTTTTTTATAGGATTTATCAAACGTAATTTTGGTGCTGGACGTTTTTTTATTGTTGTAGTTAAATATTTCGGAAGACCTGGAAAAATTGTAGGAACTGCATCTGTTTTTAACATTGGAGTAGTCCTTTCTAGTTTTTCTACAACTCCTTCAGTAATATTGAACTCATCATATTTAATAATACTAGTGGCCTCAAAGTGTAATTCACAAACATAATCTTTTTCACTTAATAATTTATCATCACGGGGAATATGTTTGTTCCAAACTTCCAGAGATTGATTATCCTAAAGTAAAATTAAATATTTTTATAACTTCAATGTAATTTTTTTTTGATGATTTTCATTTCTATATATTAATCATTTATCTTTTTTACTATTTTAACTATGGTGCTTTGTAAATATTATGTATAAAATCAACTTAGTTATTTTTATTCCATAGTGCACAGTGTACACTTTTTTTTTTAGGTCAGAATTTATCTATTTTATAATATAGAGAATTCAGGATATTTATATTATAATATAATTATATAATTATATTTACTACATATTTTAATAGAACAAAATTAGGTTTGCAATTAAGCTATATTTTGATCTGAAATTATAATTTATTAAAATTGTATAAATAGTTTACTTTATTAAACACATACAAATATGTATCATTAATAATGCCCTTTTAGAGGTACTTAGGTGGTAAAGAAAATTATACAAATGTTTCCCTCAAATAAATCTCTATAGTAGGTATTTAAAAATTATGACTCACCTTTGGTGCACGAAATAAAATAGGTGGTTTTTTATTTTCTACTTTTAACTTTTTGTTGTAACTGGCATAGCCAGTTTTGCATCCTGGCACAAAACATTTGTTTGGCATTTTTTAACAAAATAAGAAAGTATATACGAAATATTATTAAACAATCCACAGGGCACAGACCATTAAGGGAGTCTTAACTTTTAAGACTTGTGTAAATACAAACAATTATGTAAATTAAAATTAAAAATAGAATATTATCAATTACTTATACTACTTATATTAGGTTTATATTATTATTTTAACTGATAATATATTCTATTCTCTATTGTAAATATTATATTTTCTCTACATCATTGCTTAATATTTAATTTTTTTTTTGTTATTATATATCAATATCATATGGGTACCTATAATTATGATTTTTATTTAGGTGTACTTGGGTCAGTAGCTGGTAGACGGTAGTAGTACCTATATATTTTGAGTTTTTATTAACAGTTTAAACTCGTCCTTATCCATACTTATTGTACGTAGATATTACTAATTCCATTTTTGTACATATATGTGTCAATGAATAAATAAACATATAAATATCATAAAATAAATATGCATTTTATTTAAATCAATAAATTTATACGATATGGCTACATACCATATAATATTATTACAATTTTTACATAATAATTGGTACATGATTCCAAAACATTAGTTTATTTTAATAATCTATACAATATAACATAAAATATATTATGTTGGCAAGCTGACTATCGACATTTGAACAACAATAATTAATACATTTAAATAAAATTTAAATCTATCTCCATTACGACTCGTATAAAAGTTAAAAAGTCGGCCTTCGAACGAAGGGTGGCGTACTCTGGTGTTAAATTCTGAACTACCAAACTGCCGTGATTTTTTGCGCCAATATTGTACCATTGAAAGATACGGGAGCGGTGTCACCTTATCTTCTCTACATCGTGACATCGCCCTATAGTAAACCGCTTCCAGACTGATTTACAAAGTGACTATAAAAATCAGCTGTTAATAATTAACTAGTGGCGCTTAATCTCAACACTCAACCATATGTGTCGACATTTAGAACTAATTTTACACCTATATATCTATAATTGGTTAATTGTAATACTGCCGCTTGGAGCGCCACTGGTTAATTATTGGTAGTCATATTGTATTTCACCTTATCAGTAGTCGATGTGCAACCTGTATATCTTTAATCGTGGGTATGGCTACCGCGTCCCGGCCACAGATATATAAAGAAATCTTTATTATCTATGGTCCCGGCGGCATCATGTATGATAGGAAACTAGGAACATTTAAACATTTTCTTAAACTCGTATACAACATCATTCATTCTAATTTCTAATACTTTAATTTCTCTCGGGTGTCCCGAAATTTCATGGAGGAAAAAAAAAAGAAAAGATAACCCAACCTAGCCAACCGCCAAATGAGTTCAAATTTTCAATTCAGAATTTAGTATACCTAAATGCGCCGTTTTGAAATACTTATTCATATATGTATTTAAAAATTCCCGCGTTTTTACATTTTATTGTTGTGTGTCGTAACGGTTTTTGCGAGACGTTTTTTCAAGTTTCCCACCACCACGATGTACGAGTTATTTTCTTTGTCCATGTACGAGGCACTATGAGCTACGAATTACGAAGTACGAACGACCCACGGGGAACGATGAACGAGTACGCAGTAAGGACAACTCGCTTTTCAGCCTTTGGACCTATCTCAACTCTTTGAGATTTTCACTTTTTTGTGAACTGTACCCTGTTTACCGTTGTTCGCCGTTTACGCCTATTAATGTCGTTGTTTATAACTTCGACCATAGTTCATACCGCCGACTCAGTTCGTGGTATCGCACGTCTTTCTAAAACTTTGACCATAGGTCACACCACTTAAATTTAAAATTTTGACTATAACTTTGTTTGCGTGTTTGGTTGTTACTTGTTCAGTACATTTTGTTATTTGTGTTTGATCTAACCTAACCCAACCTAACCTTTACTTTGGGTGGTTCATCCAATTATCTTTGCAATAAATAATTACTATAAATATAACTACTCCCTTTTTTTGTGTGCTCATTCTAGTTTTATATTAATAATGATAAACAACGAGGTAATAATTGCTCTCCCAGATCATTTGGTGGACCACGACTACTTCCTGCCAGTTGTATATGAAGTTGATCGTATAGTGCACAAAGAAGAAGTAGTCGAAGAAGTTGAGGTATTGAAAGAAGAAGAAGAGGAACAAATTGTTGGAGTGCCGGAAACATATACTTTGATTCCTGGAGTTCATAACAGATCGAGGATATATATTGACAACTTGGGATTTAAGTATTACAAACGAGAAGTCCGAGGACACCGCGTGTATGTATAATAGTTTATCCAAAATAATTACTTACCTATTTGAGTACAGAGTAATGATAATAATATTATGTATTTATATTTTATAGGTATTTAGTATGTGAACGGCAGAAGAAACGGAACCAGTACTGTCCATCCACTGCGACTGTTAGTACAAATTTGAATGACAATAGAATTCATCTACGGTTCTACCACGATCACCAGCCCGGAGTGATTGACCTGAATTATGCCATTTTTGAGGGAAACCATTGGTGAAAGAGGAATCGAGGGGAATTGATCCAGCAGTTACAACTTCATTTATGAGAACTTTGTTCAATAATGAAATTATCAAGTGAGTCGTTTTCAAACTTATCTGTGTATTCTAATTATTATTTGTTACTTTTTGGTATTAGTTATGCCTATAAGTAATGAACAATCCAAAATATTATATTTTAAGTCAATTATTAACTAATTTTTTTGGTTTTGATAGCCATCCAGAAGCAGCTCCCAACTACACATTTATTCAGGCCCAAGAACGAGTGTAAAAGATGAGACGTCGAAGATTTCCAGGACGACCTCTTGACATTGGGCAACTTGCTGTTGCACTGAATGAAGCACACAATGCCATGTAAGCTTCTACAGTTCAAAATCCCCCATCTAGGTAAATATAGTTGTTTGTTCTAAGTTTATAAGTTATAACTAATAAGCTATTATATAATTAGTCAAATATGGTAATAATATAAGTAAATCTTATATTAATTTATTCAATTTTAAATAATAAGTACCGATAAAAAATGTACATATTAGGTACTTACATAAGTGTATATTAATTTATCTACTCTGGGTAGATGGGTAGATATTTATGATTGTATTAGAATATTTTATGGACACATTTATTTGTGTTTTTATTTTTCTTGTATGAATTGTATTTAATCTCTATTTTTCATCAAATAGTAAAATATTGCTAAAAAAGGATATTGTCCCTTTATAAAATAATTGAATATTAATAACAATCTATTATAAATGAATATACATTTGACATAATTCTCACATGTTAGTAACTTAAATTTTTGGTTGTTACAAGTCTGTCCAGGTCTAATCAGTTTTTTTGGAGAAGTATACAGAACCAACAATTACTAGGAGTCTTTCCACGCTATACTCTTAACTCTAATGCACAGACACCCAAATATATGGAATTTTCTTTGTGAGTTTTTGTAGTACATGGTGTGTTGTGTTTTAAATGTTGTATCCCTGTGTTATATGTTTGTGTTTATAAGTAAAATTATAATATTTATTTTTATATGTTTCATGTTTAACCTAATAAGATTGCTTACAGGATATGTTGGTTCATGTTGAACCTTGTCCAATATGTTTGTGTTTATATATAATATATCTCATTTATGTCATGTGTAAACCACCTAACAAGAAGGGGTTGATGGTTAGAGAAGTAAGCAAATATGTTGTTTTAAAATTTGAATTTTAGTTAAAATATTTTATTTTTGTTTCTGGTTATGGTATCATTTTTACTGTATGTATGTAACTGTCTTGCTCTAGCATATAATATCAAATATTACAATCATTTATATTTTATTTCCTACTGATCAATTACTTTGCCTACAGAGAAACTGACCGTCCTTGAAAACCAGTATTTTGTTGAATTTGACCAAGCCAGAAGAAACCTCATGGTGGTTATTTTTATTTTATTTTTTACAAACATACATTTTTTTTTTTTTGGGCTGGTTACAGATATTTTATTTTTCTAAAGCTTTGGTTATCTTGATAGAAACAAATAAAATGTATTTACTTAGTAATAGGTACATATTTATAATTCATAAATTGTCTTCCAAATAGTGGAAAATGTCTAGTAGCCTGCTGCGTTTACATCATATAATTTTATGTTACAACATAAGATTTTTTTTTAACCTTAATTACATTTCAGATTAGAGATGGAGCATCAAGAAGGGAACGATAGAACACTACCACTGTCTTAGCAGGCCATGCGCAACAACTCAACCAAGATTATCTCACAGGATTTTTGAGAACAGCTGGACCCCACAATGATGGATACGTACAAGGCAAAATCAGACCATATCCATGGTTAAAAATATTTTTTAATTTTATTTAAATTTCGTAAATTAATTAATGTGATTCTTTTGTTTTTTAATAGTATCAGTAAGTTGTCCTTGTTATGTTTGTCGTGCGGTACCATAATGAGCAATATTGTTAATATACCTTGAATATATTTTAATTAACTTAAAATAGCATATCGCTTGTTTTAAATTTGTCTTATCCATTATCCCTAATGAATTGTCCTGCAGTAATTGTATATATTTTATTATTTTAAATAAATAAATTATTAAATGTAATGAATACCATGTTATTTGTAAGTTTATTTTACTCAGTTGCCTCTTTTATATAACTTGTAAAGTATTGTATAATTTAAAAGAAAAATCAGCATTTACAGTGATTCATTCAAAGAAGTGTATTTGAAAAAGAGCAGTACTTTCAATCCATTGTTGTTCATACACCTTAAGCATTGTTTGGCTATTTTTATAGTCTAATATACAGTGGGGGTGTTTCAGGGTTATTATACATCTGATTGTGTGATAGTGTGATACTATTGTAATAAACTATTATTGTACTTTAAAAATATTTTAGTGTAATTGTTACAAACTGATTAAAAAAATCAAAACTAAAGTTGAAAGTAAAAAAGTGGGAGCGCAAGCTATAAGACGCTTATTATCGCTGTGAAATACCTTTAGCCTCTGTACTATAACCACCCAAGGCATGCTCAGTCAGTTGCGCTTCGTCAATGAATTTTGTAATATAATTAAAATTAAAGTTATATAATTAATAGGTATTAATTAAATTAAATAGAACATTATGAGAAATGAGCATTCCCGTACATCGGAGTCAGCATTCACCACTGGTTATAAAATATCAAATACAAATTTTAATATTTATAATTTTTGTTATAATTAGTTTATGGAATAAAATTAATTGATTTTTCTAGTTAGTATAGTATAATTTATAAACTGTTTTTATTGTGTTATTATGTTTTTATTAAGTTATTAACAATTATAAATAATAATTATACGAAAAGAAGTTAACTGCTGTTAAAAACTTTTGGTTAACTTTTGGCACATTACAAGCAATTGCAAAGAAATTATTATTACTATTCGGCATTTATCTGTAGTAATGACTTTAATGAACACCGTATGTCCGTGTAGATAATTACTACGCTTTATATGGATTACGATCCGAATAAATCCGGCTTAAACGGTCTTTTTTTTAAATTCCCGACAATTCTTGTTTTGTATTTTCCATTATATTATACTGTTCTATGATTATACTTATCTATGCTCTAACCAGGGTATGGACACTCAGCTGTGTATTGGCCATGAACTAAGATAATATGGACTGGTAACGGTTGGGCTGGCGGATGGTAGCGGTGCGGTCAAGTTTTAATACGTGGTTTTCTAAGAGGGGGAATTTATCGGATTGGGGCGGTCCTTGTGTTGTTTTTTGTAACTATCGTAGTATCGTAGGTATAATATGTATATCGTGGACCGTTGTTACTTGTTTTACAAAATATTTTTAAAATTTAAAGTAATTATACTTTATAGTAAATATATATTTCATATATTTCATATTCTTTATATTATGTTTCTCGTTTATTATACCTACTGGGCACTGCCTACTACAGTACTACCTAATAATTTTTATATATTAATTTTTTGCTTGTTGTCTGTTGATAGTGTAGTGTGTATTTTTTTAAACTTTCATCTATTCTATGATATAAATGTACCTACTAATATAGTATGTATATTACAGAGTCAGAGTGTATTAAATACCTATTCAATTTTTACAGCTGTGCAACTAATTCAATTCAGTTTTACCTACCAAATATTGAACATGAATATTTAACATATTGATTACAAAATAGTATTGAACTTTTATTATTAGATTGCTATTAAATTATATTTTTGGTTGGTTATCAGTTTTAACATATTTATTGTTAACTACCAAAATGTATACTACATTTATTTTACCTCAGCATTAACAATTCCATGTGCAACCGTATCAAAAATTTGAGGAACTGCACCTTTCGCTAAACTAGGTTTCACTTTTTGAGGAAAGTCTAAACCCTAAATTATGTTAGTATTTTTTTTTTAGTTGGTAATTATTTATTTATTTCTTATGTATGTCCTTCAAAGTTTAAAAAACAGTTAAGAGGATGACTTTCACCTCAACTATTACTAAAATTATAGATGATAATATGTTTAAGGGTATGACAAATTGATTTTATATTTTCAAAATTTTATGTTTTCAAAATAAACAAAAAAATTGTGTAAATTTAAATAATGTTTAATTTGTTTTGAGACAATATTTAGACAAACCGACTATGTTATACCTTCAAAAATATTATTCTCTATCGTTTTTGTAATAGGTGATTTTACTCTAACATTGCTTAAAAACATAAAAAAAAATGATTCTGCAAAATTGGGTTTTGTTTATATTGCACGTGGGCCAGAGAGAGAAAACAAAATTGCGCTGACATCCTCTTAAATTTTACCAACTATGTTTTTAAAATATTGTTTATTTTAAAATTTAATTAATATTTACTCTAATTATAATATGTACAATACCTCAACACCAGCATAAGTTTTTACTATATCTTTAGGGAGAAAATGTTTTTCACAAATAAACTTAATTTTGGTATCGCATCCATTAATTGATTTAATAATTTCTGTCCAAGAAGAAAACGATGCCTTAGGAATACTAAAAAAGCTGCATTCCCCATCAAAACTTTTGCAACTAATTATACAACACTTTCTGGACATTTTTAAAAATGAATACCTTATACTACTAACTACTAAGAGGCAAGTGTATACTAATAAGTAATAAGAACAAAATATAAGTCTTTCAAAATGTGTTTTATTATAATTTCATGACAAGTTTAATACAGTTTTTAACAAGTTATTTGCAATATTCTACATGTTCAGTCATGTTATTTGAAACTTATTTTTGTTTTTGTCCAACAGATGTCGCTTCAGCTTCACAATTTCTCACACCACAAAAAGTCCGTATTAAAACCTGACCGCATATTTTACCGTCGTTGCCAGTCCATATTATCTTAGTTCATGGTATTGGCAATATCGGGTGACTGTGGCCTTGAGCACAGTCTCTAAGGGGGCGTGGCATATGTCATCATTTAAATCACGGACTAAGATATACAGGACTGGACACGACAAGGTTGGAGGGTGTGGGGGGGGGGTTGACTACGAAATGTTTTACAACAGGCAGTGTTCGGGGGGATATTTTCCTTTTAGCATTACTAGCGCCGTCTTAGTGGATACTTTTGGAACTAGATGACAATAATGTGATCTAGTTCCATAAGTATCCACTAAGACGGCGCTAGTAATGCTAAAAGGAAAATATCCCCCCGAACTCCGCCTGTTGTAAAACATTTCGTAACCACAATATTCATCTCGTGTCCAGTCCTGTATATCTTAGTCCGTGATTTAAATAAATCATATCAATATTATCAGTCCACAGAATAATAAATAATAATACAATATATTATTTCATTAACAATAAACCAATGTAAAATTACATTATAGTTTTTTATTTATATTAAAACAAAATCCTTATTCATTTTACCAAAATTTAATATTGATATACTTAAAATATGAAAATTCAAATAAAATCGTTTATAAAAATTCCGTAACAAAGAGGGATACACGTTGCTAACGTTCTATCAGATTACGGATACGGTACAACTTTTATAGTCCGATACATCATACCGTAGGGATACGTAAACCCTCACAGCTGATGCCTGAATACTCTATTCTGTATTGTTCTGTGCTCTAACCTAACTAAAATCACAGATCTTAGTCCGTGGTCCATACCCTGCTAAAATCTGTTCTATTCTAAAATGGTTGTTGAATCTGTTGCCAACATCGAAAATAAAAAAAAATATGTGAAAATAATTATGGTTTCTTTTGATGGTAGCACTACTTGTTTGAAATTTAAAAATAAATGACAAATTACCTATATTTAATATTTATGTTATGGTTATCAGATTGTTGTTCATTTATTTATAGAAAATAATAATAATTAATAACTAATAAGTTACTAATAAGCAAATCGTATTTGTTTATATAAGTTATACTTATATATATATATATAGTTGATTTATCCGAGTTGTTAATAGAACAACTACATTGTTTTACTGTAAACCTTAGATCATATTATACAATGTATGTAAGCTGTACGCCTGTACACACAGATAATATTATACAATGTATGTAAGTTGTACGCCTGTACACACAGATAATATTATTATATAATATGATAATATGAAAAATTCATAAACCATAATCATACATCATCATTCATAATTAAAGTGGCAGTAGTCGTGCAGTGTGTTACTGAGTTATTAAGACATTAAGTTCTTTTATATTCTATTATTGGTCAAATACAGTATATTATTATGTATACCTAATTTATATTTTAATCAATGCTACCGTGTCTCATATAGAACTATAGAAGTAATAAGTATTATCCTGTATCATCTATAATATAGTCGTATGTGCTGATCACTGATGCAGTAGCCACTAGGTACACAATTTGTTTGTAAGTTTTTGTAAATATGTAATGTAATGTAATAGTAATGATTTTTCATTGTAATCCTAGTTGTAAAGTGTAGTTCATTATTCATACAAAAATATTAAGACTTAATATATTCTATAATATTTATTATTTATTTGAAAATTATAAATAAAGACATTTATACATTTTGAATAGAGGTTTGAGTACTTAAGGCGTGGTTATTAATATTTAATATTACACTAGGTACAATGAATAGGAATGTTGTTATTGTTTATAAACAAGGCTGATCAGTAAAATATTTTTTTTTAAATTGTTAAGTTAAGTTTATATAGAAAAATATAAGTTAAGTTTAATATTAAAAGTTAGATACTTTTCTTTTTGTTTCAACTTGTATAAGTTACAATTTAACTAGAAAATAAAAGTATGTATTTATTTACCTAATAGTCCATAACTACTAAATTATAATTACCAAATTAATTGTTAGAATATTTTAACTACCCACAAATATTATAATATAAAATAACTTAACATGACAAGTTAGTGTCCAGCCTTGCTTATATTAAGGTGCATATTACATAATTAACCTATCTAAATAAATTATTTGAACAAAAATATAAAAATTAAGTTTCTAGGTAGTAAAATAAACACTAACAGTAGTAATCACATTTAAAATTGATTCTGTGTCGTTGTCAAACAAAATATATAGATAACCTTAAGACTAGGGTTAATTTAACAAAATATAATTTAAAAATATAAAATAATTAAAATTAAAAATTTACATCTAAATTATAACATAAATATTATAATATCCTACTAGGTATTCTAGTACTGGCGTACTGCCAAACTTCATTAAATTTATTCATCATCTGTAAGTTAAAATGAATTTGTATTGATCATTATAAAATATAATACTATACGTTATGTAAAAACATGTACCAGGGGGAATACCAATCTCCTGTGCTATATAACTGTCCACTCTATGCCCAGCTCGTCTTAAAAATATAATTATTCAGGTAGGGTCCCTGTCATTCACTAGCTTTTGTATTAAATCCCTTATAACTTCAGTGTTATGATTCCTAACATGTTTGGATCGTCGTATCTATTAGAGAAAACATATTAAATAATTATTGAATTCTATGTACACTTTTTACAACTTATTATAACTTTTAATATTCTGATAGGTACTCACATTCAAATTATTTATCAATTGTTGAAATTCAATATTATATTGATTTTCTAGGAATTGTAACTGATCTGAAAATATATAACAATTTAATAACAATTAGTTATAGTTATCAAATTAAAACATAGCTTTATTTTATTTTATGGTTAATTAAAAAAACTATCCACCATCAGTAACAATGCAGTAACATTTAATCAGTAAAGTACATAACAAATAATAATTTATAACTTAATTATGTGATAATTACTTAGGTATACTAAATACAAAAATTGAATACCCAAACATGATACAATTTTAAAAGCTATGCATAAAAATAAATAAATAATTTAATTATCTCATTTATATTTAGTACTATTAATTATTTACCATTCTTAGTATACAAATTGCATTCAAATTTGATGTTATTAAATGAAAAATTTGAGATTTTTTGACTCTAGTGTACCGTATGACTGCCTATAAATATTACTTATTATTAATAATACATTTTTTCAGATTCAACAAAAAGGAAGCTACTATTTACCTGACAAAAATGAAAATAGCATCCTTGCGTTTTACTCTCCGGAAATACTATTTTTGCAGCATTAATTAGACCATACTTATAATCTGTTATTATGATTAAATCTGCATAATTTAATGGTAACACACTTCTGACGTATCTCAGAAGTTGTATATAGATATCCTGTGTTTTGCCTGTGAGGATAGCATGAACTAGTGGGAAACTATAAAACAAAAATAGTATGTATATTATTAAACTGGATTATTGTATAATAATTGAATAAATATTAACAAACTTACAACGTTTTTGAACAGGATATGGAATGAGAATATCTGATAAGCATCATTATCCAAAAATTTTGGTACAGTTTTGAATGTCCAGTCACAACCAGCTACACGGACCTTAAAATGGTAGACAGAATTGTAAAGCAAGTAATTTATATTGCATTTGCCATTTACATAAATTTCTTAAATTTTGTTTGATTTTCTGTATATGAGCTATGTTGCAAAACAGGACACCTTTAATAACTCCATTCACAATCAATGGGCTTTGATAAAATCTATGCATAGGTTATTATTAAATAGATTTAATTTATTCAATTTAAATTTTGTAATCAAATTGTATTTTACTGTAATTTTTGTAATGTTAGTGTAAACATTTGATTTTCATCATTGCTTAGTAAATTGTGGAACTCTAAAATATTTTGAGGTGTGGCTGGGTACATTCCTTGTCGCAATCGCCTCATTCTTTCTGCACACTGAATGAAGGTATAATTATTTGCAGCTTCTGGAAAACTATTGAGTAAAAAAATATTCAAACATTATATAAGAAAGGTAGGTGTTACCTAAATTGTTAATCATAAGACCTAATATAAAATTACTAATATTTGTTTTATTTTTTAGACAAAGATAAATATGAATACCAACTTCGCAATCGATTCCATGTATATACCACGAGGCACATATGAATTTACAGTTTTTTTTAAAGCCTTTTCTGTTACGTGTTGTCGAAGGAATGGAACATCCAAGTTATATGGTTTTACTGGATGGCTATGTTGGTTTGACAACTTAAGACTTTTGTTTTCTCAATCTGATGATATGACTGCAGTTCCCCGACATTCCCCCCTTTTTTTTTTCCAAGCATGCCAAATAGCTAAACGGTTACAATCATAAGTCATAGGGTACTGTGTAACTTTAAGTTAATTGTTTTATTTAAATGTATTTTAATCTTACATTTTATTTTCAGTACTTTTGTTTTTATAGTACATATTACCCAAGTTATCACAAAGTATTTTTGTGTTCCTTTGTGTACCAGGAACTGTGGTGTAACTATGTGGCTGGACATTGGGCATAGGAAGAACAGAGAGTACTTGTTCTTGAGGTTCTACTATCCTATATACAGATAAACAATTGAGTACCTACATACATTACAAGTATACAGATTATTGGGTTTGATTCAATACATGCAATTAACTATATAATCAACTTACCAGCTTCATCTTGAATTCTACAGTTATCGTGATCATGATTTACAATATCTAAATAAACATATAACTTTTAGTATGTCTAGGACTCAAAATGAATGAATTGGATATTGAATATTGATTTGGAATTTGGAATGAAGTACCTACATATCAAAGGTGGTCAAGTAATGAAAATAATTAACTCAAGTTCAGTTAAGAGAACACAAAATCTTTAAGTTAGAAGTTAACAGTTAACAAATCATAAATTAACTCTTTATTATAAAATATTTTTTATTACAATTTGATATTGAATAATTAAACAAATATCAATTTTTTTTCAAATACAAAATTATTTTATATTATATAATATAATTAAATTTTTGTATTGGGTTGTTTTGATTCGACCTTTTTAACTAGTTAATGCCCACTTTTCAACTAAATACTTGAACTACTTTTGGGATTTCAGCAATCAAAGGAAGTTGTTATATACATACCACATTCCACAGTAAAAGCTTGTTCTAGAGACATGGTTGAAAATTAAAGTCAATAAACGTTGTAAAATCTAGAAAAGCACAGAAAATGAAATTTATTCAACTAGTATAATCCAGAAAAGTAAAGAAAATGTTCTTAATTTAACCTCTTAATAATTTAATAAAATTACCTGTATTATATTATATGATATATATATATATATATGTCTAATGTCTAAATAACAAAATGTATACCGATTTTTGTATGTAATGGTTGGCAACGCTTTTTGATTTTCGAACTGTTATCAGTCGTCAGCTCCTTATCATTTTTCGGACAACTGCAGCAGCAGCTGATCTCCCGGTTGTATTTTATCACGATAATAAAAATTGATGAAATACCATAGCGGCATAGCCCACAACCGGCTATGCGTTGAAAAAAGTGGCGTCTTCCGGAGTGCTTGTCAGTGTAATTAGTAGTTGGCAATCTAGTTTATTATCTATATCTGTGTGCAAGTGTGCTCCTCTATTCTTATTTCTCATCTATCATTGATAATAATATTATAGATGTGTACGACGGTTAAATTTCAAATAATACAAGGCTGGTGTGTGTTGGTATAAATCTATATAGGTGCCACATTTTGAATCCGAATTTGACATTTCGGCATTCGTTCGCTGTCCACGTTTTGTGCGTCGTCGTGTGTCACTACTATTTATTGAACATATTAATATCGCTTTTGTTACAAATACATTTTATGATTATGAGTGATAATCATAATAAGTGGGATGTCATGGACGATGATATTGTAAGACTATCGCCGAAAAGAAAAAATCCCAGTGGAAAAGTGAGTACCTACTTCCTAGCCAACTGTGTTTTATACATTTTTACACAAAAGTGACGAAACGTCTTGGCAAATCGTTTGCAGTGTTGGGAATAGATAACTAAAATATTATCCAGATACAGATAACAGATTTTTGATGGGAATTTATCTATATAAAGATAGTAGATAAGCATTGTTTTGGATTTTTTAAACTTGACATACCATGTAGATAATACGGGTAGACACTCGGTGTCGACTGTCGAAGAGTGAGTCGTATTTTGACGGCATTTAATCCGGGAATTGTCCAGGAGCACTAAGAAAGCCGATTTTTTAAATAATTCTATGCAGCGGCATACGCATTAAATCTTAAGGAACGAATGTAGCTTACGTTTTATTTTTTAATTTTTTAAATTTTTTTTGGAATGTTGATATTCTTATGCTCAACGTGTTAGTGTAATCAGAATTTACTTATCTTACTTACTTTTTATGTTATTGTTAATAAACCACGTAAAAATTAATTGTTAGTTTTACGTGGCTTATCAACAATAACATAAAAAGTAAGCAAGATAGATAAATTCTGATTTCAACAACATGTTGAGCATAAAAATATTAACATTTCCAAAACATGTAATCTTAGTATTTTTAACTCAAAAACACGATTTTTCCAAAAATTGAGCATTTTGAAGTATTTTGACCATAACTTACAAATTAAGTTTCAGGTTTTTTTTTCAAGTTTCATAGAATTGAGAAAAGAAAAAGTTGGTGTTTTATTTTAGGTATTCATTTTCCTTTTATAATCTAATAACTTACCTAACAAATCGTATATTATAATTTATAGTTTATAGCCATATAGGTACTATACTATGGACATGGTCATAGCACATTGACTAACAATTATTATAATTAGGTGATATGATTAATTAAAAAACCTTTATTACAGTTTATAAATATGACATTTCTGAGTAGGTATCATCATTAATAATGTATCATTGTATCATTAATATTCTATCGTTAAATCCTTTGCCAATAGGTATTGATATTTATACATTATTGTGGGCATGTAAGACATTATTTACATAATTTTATATTTAATAGTATATTATGATAAACAATTTGATAGGTAGGTTACATTATAAAAGGAAAATTAATATCTAAAAAAACACACCAAATTTTTATTTGTAAGGTATGGTCAACATTTTATTTCTATACCTATTAATTAATAATTAACTCATATGAGTTTATATGGGAATCCAAGTTCAGTTTAAATACTCTGAACAAATGGACATAGATGGACTTATTATGTACTTAGATAATACTTGTTGGTAAAATAAAACAACATTAAATATACCTATCTCGAACTACCTAATTGTTTTTAAAGAAAAAAAGGTGCTCTGCTGTACAGTAGGTTACAAATGAGACACTGCTTAATGGATGGTATTTAATTTGAACTCAATGATATGATATAGGCTTTATTAATAGGAATACACAAAATTTTAAACAGCCTTCAAGCTTAAAAACTTTATATTGCTCGCTCGTGCGATCTTCACTAGAGTTTGGATCCATAATTTGGTCTCAAAACCTGTCTACATACTTGAATGATCTTGAGATTGTCCAATATAAATTTTTAAAAAGAATAGCTTACGTCTCCAATATGCCTATCTCTAGTAATATATTTAAACCCGTTCAGTTATCAATAGGTCTGGATTCGATCGATCTAAGAAGACAACTCTCTGATATATTATTTATGTATGATTTATTAAATGGTTTTATTGATTGTCCACATCTACTGGCTTTACTAAGTATCAAGGTTCCCACTTTCTTCTCCAGGACCAATGATTTATTTGTCATCCCCTACTATCGCAAAAGTTATGGTGCCGATTCGTTTTTCCCTCGCGCTCTGTCACTAGCTAATAAAATATCCCCATCAATAAATTTTTTTGATTCTAGTCGTAATAAATTTAAGTGCAATGTATTATTAATATTAAGATGTATTAATGATGTTTAATAGTTATTAATTTTTTCCATTTAAGTAATTAGTTGTATTTCTGTATTTGTACTTTGTATAGTTCTTTATTATTTTTTCCTTTTTGTTTATTGTAATCAAAATATGTAAGTTTTCGTTCATGTAATTTGTCAATTGTATTATACCTTATATTCAAAGGGCTCAAGCCCGTTAAATCAATTAAATAAAAAATAAAATAAATAAAATAATATCATTGTATAAGAAAAACATTTCTGAGCGGAGACGGTATGTCAGTCTAGGTATAAGACATATTATATACTTATCTGTGGTATTAAAAAAAATTGACCTATAATAAATTCCAAATTAATCATATCACAATATCCATTAGGTACATATAACACGTTATACATCAACAACAAACCCTGATACTATCATAGATATATTATTACTACTAGAGTGTACTTTAGAGTTTCCAGTACCCACGAATAATATTATACAATCACAACAAAATAACTAAAATAGTTATTCTAGGTTTTTATTATGTAATTTCGTCCAAATTTGAACTTAAAATGACTATAAAATGTGCTTATGTATTTTTTCGATTTTTTGGTAATAGAATTAATTACTTAAGTGGAATCTTTTTATACATTTTCAATCCTTAGATATAAAAGTTGAACATTTTATAAATTTTTAACTACAAAATAATAATTATTATTAATATATTTATTCAATTTTAAATTTGATAAATTTTGTCAAAATTGGGTCTTTAAATGCTTATAAAAAAAAATTGTGCCTATGTATTTTTAATATTTTTCAACTGATATTGTAACAATATATCGGGAGCCTTGTATTAAATTTTTACACTTTTTGGCCTAACAGATAAAACTTAATTGATATTTATCATAGGCGTGCGCAGACCTTGCTGGCAGGGGGGGCAGAATGTAATAATGTACGTATAGGTATATTATATAATATATAGGTAAGTAAATATTATTTTGGTTATTAGTTCAATTAATGTAAGTGATGGAAGTATTTTCATTTTATGTATCATTAAAACTACAAATAACTACAAATTTAATATAGTAATTGAAACTCCAAAGTTTTTTTATATTATATTAATATACATGAACAAAGAAAATTATTACATTCATACAGTGGTGGATCCAGGGGGATGGCAAAGGGGGCATTTGCCCCCCCCCCCAATAACCGTAGTTTTCCTTTGTTTTACACTGTGTTTAGTCAATTTTGGAACTTTCATATACTTTTGAGCCCCCCATGCCCCTCCCAAAATTAAGCCCTGGATCCGCCACTGCATTCATATATATTTTTATGCCCGATGTGTTGGTGAAATCTGAATTTACTAATTCTACTTACTTTTTATTTACAATTACAAAAAAAGTAAGTAAGATAGGTAAATTATTATTTGCACCAACACGTTGAACATATAAATATCAACATTTAAAAAAAAATGTAAATCCTTAGTATTGCATTTACATGATTTTTCCAAAAATAGTACCACTATTATATCATGCATTAATGTATCAATAATATTCTATTCTTTGGTAATATTGAAATTTATACATTATTGTAGGCATGTAACCTATTATTTAAACTGTTTTATAAATTATACTTTATAGGTATTTAATAGTATTAGGTATATAATAAACAATTTGATTTGTAGGTTACAGTATAAATAGAAAATTAATTTCAATATAAAACACCACATTAAAAAAAAAGATAGGTATATTCTGATTTAATCAACACGTTGAGCATAAAACTACTAAAATACTAAAAATTCCGAAAATTGCTTCGGAAGTAAAGAGCTATAATATTTGTTCGTATACTGCATACTAATTATTATAATTATTAATTACTAATTATTTAAAGAACCGACCTTCTTAGCGCTTCCGGTGAACGTTTTTCGCATTAAATGCCGTCAAATTACTACTCACTTTCATGTCTCATCACATCTCAATCTACATCATGCTATAATAAGATTATAAGCACTCGTTATCACCGCGGTATCGCTTGTGGTTCGCTTAAAGTTGGACAACATAAAATCATCGTGCACTGTACATCGAGCACTCAATGTTTACATAATATTCATTATATAAAACTGTATTATAATATTTTTTTAAAAACTTTGTTATTTTGTAAGAAAACTTGAGCCCGCAGGAGGGGCAGCTGCCCACCCTGCCCCTCCCGTGCGCACGCCTATGATATTTATAGAAAAAAAACTAAAAAAAATGAAAACTGATAATGTCCGTAAACAGCTCAAAAAGGGTCAAAATTGTATGGTGTATAGGAAATGCTAGTATAAACATCCAGTGAAATTTTCATGTATCTATAGTTATTCGTTTTTGAATTACAGCAAAATAAAGAAATCGTTACATAAGAAATCGAGTGAATATCCAATGTTGTAAAAATTTGAATTTCAAACTCTCATAAAAATTTAATTTGACTTTCTTATAAACATTTTTTTTTTGATAAAGGTAGATAATCTTGTAAGGAGTCTTGTATTACATTTTAAAACCTTAGATTTTAAAAGAAAAATTTTTACGAATTCTTAACTCAAAATTTCGTAATTTATCCATATTTTGTCAATTTTTGAACTTTTAATGCTTATAAAAAAAATTGTGACTAAGGATTTTTAATATTTTTCTTCTGCCGTTGAAACAATATACTAGGAGCCTTTCATTAAATTTTCAATCTTTTATAACCAACAAATAAAATTTTATTGATATTTTTAGAAAAAAAAAAAAAAAATGATAAATAAATAGAAACTTATAAAATGTCCATAAAGAGCACAAAATAAATCAAAATATTTGGAAAATGTTATGGTGTATAGAAAATGCTAATATAAACATTCAGTCAAAATTTAATGTACCTACGGTCATTTGTTTAAGAGTTGCATCCAAAACCAAAATCAGTTTTCTCGAAAAATTCCCGTATTTCCTTAATTTTTCTTTTGTTTTTCCCGCGCTTTTGAAAACTACCTTGAAATTTTTACTTTCCGTTCAGAAAAGATACTGTTGAAGAAAATCCAAGCTCTTTTACTGTCCTAAAACGTGATAACAGACGGAAAAAAAAATTAAAAACACATATCATTGTAAAATCAATACATTCATCGTTCCATTCAGAATCTAAAATTTAGGTTAAGCTTAGGTTTAATTTACATGAAGATGACGCTACCCGTGCGTTTGTTGTTTCCGTCTTAAAAACGTACGACAGTAAATTTCACTAGCTTCAATGGTGTGCTGTCAGTTCATAGTTTTGATATTAGAGTGAATTGTATCGTTACATTTTTAGATAAGAACATTATCTAAGCATCGGATTTTATTTGATATTTTAATTTTCAAGGAAAATATGTGAGCATTTAAAATTTGTGATATTTCACATACCCATATCTTTCTTGAAAATTAAAATATCGAAAATCAAGCACAGATAATCACAGATAAAATCCTTACCTAAAAGTTTGATCACAGGTAAATTCACTCTAATGTCACAACTAACAGCACACTATGAAACTAGTGAACGAAAATTTGCCATGGCGTATTGTGTAAGACGAAGAGGTAACAAGTGCCCGAGTAGCGTCCTATTAACACTCATTAAGAACACGTAAGTAGATTAGTTAAAATTGTTAAAATAAAATATCTTAAAATATTATTCAGTATTTAAAATATATCATAAATTATAATCAAAAAATTGGTTAGGTTACAAGAACACAAGATAATGACAGTTACTGGCCGTGTTGACGTGTTGTATTGTGTTATTATATGTCATGTACATGTACATTCTAAAATATAATATACTTTGAAGTAGGTATATAAATATTTATACTAATTATGTATACAGTTTGTATAGTAGTTATAAAATTGACATTAATAATGGTGCCTAATATATTATATTTTATAATACTTATATAATATTATATATTATGTAGGTATAGCTGCGGTAGCCGTCGTCTGCGGGCAGTGTACCTACGAAACACACTCGTATATTATGTTTTCATGGGTAATTTCACGGGAAATACAAAATATATTATGTACCTATAGTATTAAATATACTTATTCAATATAGACACACTTTGTGTAGTATGTTTGGGAAAAAGATAGATAAGAATTTTAAATATTATTATTATTATAAGTCGTTTTTTACAAATTTTATTGATAAGTTATAGACACAACATTTAAAGATTATAAAATAAAAATATTTCAAATGATCGATAAGTCAAATAATACAAATAATTATCAAATAATAGTTAATGAATGTAGGTACCTACATATTCTTATAAAAGAACCATTAATATACATAAGTATGTTGTTTCAAATCGTGATATAAGACAAAATAATATTATTGTTAATGTTTGAAAATTATTTATTATAGGTATATTATTTTTTTTAATGGTAAGTGTATACTTATGTCTAGTACTTATGTACTTAATTTAGTGTATATTTGTAATTAAATATTAATAATGTGGTAATTGCACTAATTAGCTTTTAAAAAATATTTGATCAATCAATTTCATGTGAGTAATATTGTAGTCCCGGATTTTGTTCCGGGCATTTTTATTCCTCAATTCACTGTCTGTATACAATTTATTTACAATCAAACCTTATTTTTGAACGAAAAAATAACGTAAGGTGCTAAAAATAATGTCGGGAAACGCAAATCTAATTAAAATAAAACTATTTAATATAACGAGTAACCTAATTTTATGACTTTTTAAAAGTAATTTACCCAACACTGCTCATGATTTAACATATACGATAAATACATGCATAACTAAATGTATACCTATGAATGTTTTCAGCTTGTAAGCAGTGGTCAAAGAGAGATTATTGTCAACATGTACAAGGACATTAGAAGTAAACATCCAGAAATGAAATACAAACCAATGATACTCGAAATAAATCAAACCACGGGTATTGGTCGTCAAACCATCTGCTCTACCATATCCGAGTATAGACGTACAGGAACCATCTCTTCTCCAATCAAAAAACGAAATAGGTCATCACTCTTGAGCCAAACTGACGATTTGGATCGTAATACATTACGGAAAAAGGTTTATTCGCTTTGGTTACGCCGTGTACTTCCGACGAACGACAGAATACTGGCTGAAGTTAACAAAGATCCTGCGCTTCCAAAATTTAAACGTACTGATTTTGATAACATAATTAAAAATTTAGATTTTGTTTTCACTAAATTTAAACAGCACAGTGTATTGACTGAGAGTGAAGATTTGATTGTTTGTCGACGCAACTATTTAAACGATATTCGTAAATATCGTGAAGAGGACCGTACCATATATTATCTGGATGAGACGTTGTTGAATGCTGGCGATTTTATGGACCAAGTATTGAAGAACAAATCAGTAGTCCACAAACACAAGGCTTTTAACAAAGGCATTAAAACTGAAGTGGAAAATCTGACGGGGAATGGGAATCATTTGATTTTGTTTCATATTGGATCAAACAAAGGATTTTTGAAAGGGGGTCTATTATGTTTTGAATCAAAAATGAGTAGCGGTGACTACCATGATGAAATTAATGGTGATCATTTTAAAGAATGGTTCGAATCTATTCTCCCACGTCTTGAGCCAAACTCCATTGTAGTTATGGATAACGCTCCGTATCATTCAATCAAAGCCGAACAAATTCCGACGCCGAGTTCGAAAAAAGCTGAAATATTGGAATGGCTTAATTCAAAAGGTGTCACATTCGATAAGCCAATGTTGAAGCTTCAACTGCTTGTCAAGGTACGTGAGTTAAGACCGCGATTCTCATCGTACGTCATTGACAACTTGGCTACAAACTCAGGTCACACAGTACTCCGATTACCATCATATCACAACGAATTCAACCCAATGAAATTGGCATGGGAAATGGTGAAAGGGTATGTAAAACGAAACAACGAGACGTTTAAAATCGATAGTTCTCTACTACTCGTTAACACGGCAATCGAACGAGTGACGACGGAAAATTGGAAAAATTTCATTAATAACGTCATCGAAGAAGAAAATAAAATTTGGATGGTCGACGACATCATAGACGAAATTCTTGATTAAATAGAACCTTGTGTACCTACAATTAAGTGTGTCGCATCCAAGGCTGGGCATTAAAGATTTAAAAAGTTAAAGTTAAGTTAAAAAGTTAATTTAATTTTCACTTTTTAACTTAACTAGTTACTTTTGGCTTTTCATTAACTTAACTGTTAACTTGCTAAATTTCTTTTTTTATTAACGTGAAATTAACAAATTAATTTTACAATGATGTGTGTTTTTTTTTTTTTTAGTCAGTTTTTAGGACAGTAAAACTGCTTGGATTTTCTTCAAAAGTATCTTTTCTGATGGGGACTGGGAAAGTGAATCTAGTTGATACTTTGGGGGGTCAAAAGTAAAAATTTCCCAATAGTTTTCAAAAGCGCCTTGAAAAACAAAAGAAAAATTAATTGAAAACAGGAATTTTTAAGCAAAATCTGTTTTTGAAAAAATCGATTTTGGTTTTTGGTGCAACTCTTAAACAAATGACCGTAGGTACATTAAATTTTGACTGAATGTTTATATTAGCATTTTCTATACACCATAACATTTTCCAAATATTTTGACTTATTTTGTGCTCTTTATGGACACTTTATAAGTTTCCATTTTTTTGAGAGAAAAAAGAAAAATTAAGGAAATACGGGAATTTTTCGAGAAAACTGATTTTGGTTTTTGGTGCAACTCTTAAACAAATGACCGTAGGTACATTAAATTTTGACTGAATGTTTATATTAGCATTTTCTATACACCATAACATTTTCCAAATATTTTGACTTATTTTGTGCTCTTTATGGACACTTTATAAGTTTCCATTTTTTTGAGAGAAAAAAGAAAAATTAAGGAAATACAGGAATTTTTCGAGAAAACTGATTTTGGTTTTTGGTGCAACTCTTAAACAAATGACCGTAGGTACATTAAATTTTGACTGAATGTTTATATTAATCACAATTTTATTTATACGCATTTAAAGTTCAAATATTGACAAAATACGTAAAAATTACGACAATTTGCAAATTATTTTGAGTTAGAAATTCATAAAAAATGTCCTTTTTAAATCTAAGTTTTTAAAATGTAATACAAGATTCTTCATAAGTTTGTCTACCTTTATCAAACAAAAAAATTACTAGAAGAAAGTCAAATTAAATTTTTATGAGCGTTTGAAATTTGTATTTTTACAACATTTGATATTCACTCGATTTCTCATATGTAACGACTAACTTTTAACTTTTTGTTATTGGTGCATATTAACTTAACTGATTTAAAAAAAAAATCATTAACTTGCCCAGGCTTGGTGGCATCTATATGTTTGATGACTGACTCCATCTGTAACTATTTAATATTTAATTTTTATGTATTGATTTTTTTTGTGCAAATGTTTCTTTTGTAATACATATGATGTAATACTGTAAATAATTAAATACATACAAGTATACAACTGTATAATTACTTATTATAGTTTAAGGTTAGTTCACAATGAATTGGCCTCTATAATAACTTAGAGCGTTCTGAACATAAGAAAATATCAACTAGTTTAAAAATATTATTTAAATCAATTAACATTATCTTTCAATGATAATATATTTAAACTTTGGAACGTTCTTGGTGATATGTATTAAAAAAATGTTTCAACGTCAGTTCCTTATTCTAAACGAATTGTGTTAAATATAAAATAATAAAGACTTGATATTAAATATTATAACTATACATTTATGATCCATTTTTAAATGTTTTTTTTTTATGATATACTCTTTCTATTATATTTGGACTAAAAAATGTTGATTATAATAATTATAGTAGGTACACTTTAAAAATATTATTTTGTTATAAACTATTTATAGTGATATGATATTATAAGTAATCATAAAATGTCTCAAGTCCCTTTGGTATACGACTAATGTTTTCTAAATGACAACGAAAACGAAATACCTATCTAAAATCGTTTGAGAAGAAAATCGATGTTTTTCTTTTTAAAATCAAATTTTGTTAAATATTTCAATTTTAAATGTCTGTAAATAAATGTTTGCATATTATTAATCATTTTCGATATTTATAAATAATTGCTGTATGAACAACTTATTATGAGGAACCATTCTTTAGCTATTTGACCAAGAAAAAATTGCTTATCAACATTTGTTCTAAATAAAAAAAGTTTAAAAATTTCAAAAGCCTATAAAATATAGCTTAATTCGAAAATAAAATAGATAATTTATTATAATTTTAGCATGAGTGAAATGTTTCAAGTTTCTATGTTTAATATTTTATGAATTACCTATAACAAAATAATAAAAACTGATTGATGAGCATTGATTATTAAAGACGTATAATAATAATAATAATAATAATTAAAATACGCGAATAACTATCTCAAATAATATTTTGTTTTGCTTTAATCTAAACTATTTATTTTTTTAAATTCTAGAAAATAAGCATATTAGGATTTAGAAATTTTGTATTACATTTTCAAATCTTAATTAATAAAACTAAACATTTTTAACCACAAAATAATTCGAGGGATTTGAAATCAAAACGCTTATCAAAAAATGTTTGTATTATACTATTATGTACCTATTTTCATTAATTTTAAAATTGCTGTAAGATACATTTATGAAAAATATTGTATTTCATTTGCAAGGTTTTTGATTTAGTTCATTCTGTTTATAGATATAGGTATCTCGGAAATTATCTAATTTTAACCTCCCACAATACTAACTATATAATATATATAGATACAATTGGCTACCAGAAACTATCCCTTCAAGTGTGATTTGTCTTTGCTGCTTCAAAAAGAAATGACAGACTCAAGAGAAAAAACACAAATCATTGTAAAACCAATGCTCTACTCAGAATAGGTAATTCTACAAAAATAATTTCATATATAACTTTCGAGTTAATGCTGAATGTTTTAATATTCAAACGATATTACCCCGGACATTCAGGTGAAGGTTAGTATTTGGTAAGGAATTGATTATTTTACTCGTAATCTAAGACGAGCAGAGCTGGTTCACCAGATATATAGTCACTTTAACTGTTAAGTACCTAGGTAATCTGTTAATCTTAAATCATAGACGATTTGTGGTACAAATATATTAATTATTTAATCATTGTTAATTTTCTAGAAACAAGAAGGTCAGCTGATAATAAATCATCAACTCGGTGTTGTTTATAATTGTTAACACATTATTAAGATGAGTACATATTTCCGGTTTTATCGATGAAATTACATTGTTGTAAAATGCGTAATGGTTTTCACTTGAAACAATAATTATTATAATATTGAATACGACAATTATAATAATTGTTTTTATTTTGAGTTAACGAAAAATAGTGTTAGGTATTCGAAATAAATCGTAGGTTTATTGCAATTAAACATATCAAGTATTTTATCTAACTTTTTTTTATAATTGGTGCAGTTTAAAATAGGAATAAATTAATTTATTTAACGAGCGATAATTATATTGTGATTTTTATTTATTATTTGCATATTTGACCTATCTATTAAAAAAAAAAATTGATAGAGGTGGTAAAAAGTGGGGATATTTAGTGAACGACTATTATGTTACTATATACCTACGATTATGTTTATTCTATTTAAAAAATAAAATATAAATATTACAATATTTAAACTATGCGTCTCTAATAATATTGCGAATAATACTCACAAGACAGTCACCAACTTCAGAAGCGGACAGTTAACGAACATATGGGCATTGATGACTTCCCTAAGTCAACGAATAAAGGAACAATTACTTACATCGCATCCGAAACTACAACTATTATAATATGTCTCGCCGTCTCGGTGTGTGAACAAGCGGAAATTGGTTTTGGTCGATCCATTCAGAATCACGACATAAGTTACGAGTCGGGAATGACAAGATCTGATATCGTTCGATTTGACACAAATAATGCATCTTGGTGATGGCGCTGTATGGTATTATAATATGTAGGTGTATGTATAATAATAATATGATGGACATGAATGAGAATATGAGATTGGTGTGACTCTACGGGCAATGAATAAGACGTGTCAATATAGCCGATTGTGATAAAGTAATAAATAACAATATAAATAACGCGCTACATTGTTATGATTAACAGTAATTAGTGGAAATTTAAATAATAGTTTTCTCTCTCGTTATCCGCGTGTCGCACACACTATTCACCGATCCGCCAGTGCAAATATTACATAATAATTATTACAAAACCATTCCGTTTGTCGTCGTATTTGATTCGAACGGTGTCTGCCCGCTGTCCAAGTACCATTATTATACGATTCTTGTTTCACTACGTCGACTGTTTCTTCAGAATGGTAAGCAATCATGAAAATTAATAAAATATATTTCACTCTTGTATTCCACCGATAGATACTAGTGTACTACCTATAAAATACATATATAGGTAATATTTAAAGTTTATTTTTAATTATATCTAAATAATTTGCAGTGTAAATAGACAAAATATTAGATATTAAAGTAATCACAAATTAAATGAAGTGAATATTATGATAGAAACTATTAGAGCTGTAAGATTGAAAATTTTCAACAACTGAAAGTTTTCAAGTTCTTTCCAATTTTTCAATTTTTAATAAAATTATAAAATTTTGTAATTGGACTTGTGTATAGTAACAATAACGATAGTGATAAAAAGTCAACTAATTCTTTCATTTTTCCACTCATTGAAGAAACATCATCAATAAATGTTGATGAAATAAAATGTATTTTAAGTACCTACACCAACTATAGGAAGAAGAGAACTATATACATTTTCAGATGATTTAAGCAAATACCAAAATGTATTTTAATATAATATAAGTAATGTATCATACAGTTCATGTACTGATGTACCTAATAAAGATTCAATTAATTCTAAATTCTAGGATTTTTTTTAATTTTTAAGTAATAAGTATATTAAGCAATTAACATTTTTATTTTATACCTAAGTAATAAGTCGGTAAGTGAATAAATTATTAAACAAATAATTAACAAATGGCCTATAATTAAAAAAAAATAAATAATTCAAATTCCATCACAAAAAAAAATAATTTTCAAAATTTTCAGTTTTTGAAAATGTTACGAAATGTTACGAAAATGTACAGCTCTAGAAAATATACAGCTAGAGATAAAGCACACCAATAATGAATATGAATATGAATTAAATGTAAATAGGTACATTGCAGTGTGAGTGTGTATTGCATTGTATGAACTAAATATTAAAATAATTTATAAGAACCAATAAACCTGTACAATCGTATAAATTATACATTGTATTATGTATGCAACGAACTATGAAAGGACCGAAATAATAATAATACAAACGAAAAATCATACTTCATATTGCATATTATTATGTTCTTCATAATATTCACGTCAAGAAAATATATGTATATCAATAACTTGTCTTAGATAAAATATTAATAAACGAAAATAACTTGAGTAATGAAAAAGTTAATCATATTGGACGGAATACGTCTTCGTGTATAGTTTAAATTATGTATATAATTTTCATTTTTTAACATAAGATGATACTCATATTTTTCAGTCAATTTCTTAGTACCTAAGTACTTTTTGTGTATATAATTTGAAAATCTTATAGGCCTAACTTTTACATTTTTGTTAAACATTAAATCTATAATATTTATGTGCGTTTTTTTTTTTACTATTATTGTGGACTAGTGGAGACATTTTCATATTTCGAATCAGAATGTTTTTCAGCACACATTTATGTTAAATATTTAATTCTCAATTTATTGTTATTACATATTTATAAGTATTTAAAATTTAGATGAGCATTGGAACATAAATAATTAACCGGACAGTGAAATCATTCAATTCCCATAAAAATCTTGAAATATATTATGTACTTAATAAAATAGTTTTAAAATAATATGCATTTTCGTGCTATATCTATCACGGTGAACTAAAGTTTCTATTATACTCATTTAATTTTAATTGTTATTACTATAATATTATTTTGTATACTTAAAACATAATTTCTTGTACAGATAAAGTCAATTAAATGTTTGAATTAATATTGTACCGAGACGTTTATGTACCAACCTAATCTATATCCTGGTCCATTTGTAATATATCTAATATTTTAATAACAATGGACAGTTAGAAAAAAACTTTTTTTAACTTTTTATCCAAACAATATATGTGAAAAGGAGATTCAACATGAAAAAAAATAATCTACTAACTAATAATTTAACATTTTTTTTTTTTTTTTTGATAGTGTTTGGAATGTATGGCAAAAATGCTTAAAAACGTAGTAAAGCTTAATGTTTTTATAATAATTTAATAGGGTCTATAAAAGTTTAATAAACCTTATGTTTATGTATACTACTATACTATGTACGGCTGATTGTACCTATATTATAAAAGTACCTACTGGTATCATTTAGTACAGCCTCTGAGCTAATGTTTATAACCGTAAGAAGTGTATATTAAATTAAAAAGTAGCTATTTTCAGTAGGTACATACCTACACGAAAATCGATTATGATAAAAAAAATATTATTTTCGTACATATTTTTTAAATGTGATTAAATACAGTAGGTAAATTATGTGAGGTAGTTACCTACCTGAAAGATATTTTTGAGCAGTTTAACTGTAGAAAAACATTTTAAGAAACGGCATTAGATCTCATACCATTTAAAAATAACATTAATCACAATTTTTTTTATACGATTCCCAACTAACCCGATATTTTTATTTACCTAAATTTTACTATTGATTTATTCGTTTGGTGTAGTGGTTTACCCAGATAGATACTTGATTCCAACGAACAGCTCTAATGAACAAAAATAATTTAGTTGGCAATATTACTAGAGTATCAAATTGGGTCCGAGTACAGGGGCATATACAAGGGGAGGCGAGGGGGGTCAGACCCCCCCCCATTGGCTTTTTATTACCTTAGTAAAAAGTTTTGAGAGGGTGGAGGATTTTCCAATTTCCCCCTCCCATTTAGATATTATGTTGTTTTTTTTTTTTTGATCCCCCCCTTTCAGAAATCATGTCTACGGCACTGTCCTAGTAAATAGTTATAGGCACACATCATTAACATGATAAAACATAATTATATGATCGACGAGAATTAATTTAAATCTGTTTTGCTTTACGATTTATAGATTTCAATCTGGTTCCAGACGGCCGTCTACCTGATGTATACGGCCGTGTTCATCGTGTCGCTGGTCGGCAACGGACTTGTGTGCTATGTCGTCATGTCCTCGACGCAAATGCAATCGGTCACCAACATGTTCATCGTGAACATGGCCGTCGGTGACCTGTTCATGACTCTGTTCTGTGTTCCCTTCCCGTTCGCCGCCTCGTTCCTATTGCAGTATTGGCCGCTGGAAAACTACTTGTGCCAAACCTTCACATTCGGCAAAATCGTCGCCGTTTTGGTAAGTCACATTTGGTGGGTGGTAACCGTCAAAATTAATACCTACCAATTGACAGTGTCAATGTAACTATAAGTAGGCGATTCCATTGAGCAGTAGACAAATTAGTGTCATTTTGTAAAAAAATGTATTTTCATATTTTTTTTGACTTTCATGAGGTTTTTTCTACAAAAAGTAATTATTTCAACTATCGATTAATTTGAACCAACACAAAGCTTCTTCTAGCTCCAAATCAACACACAGCTGTGTGTATAATCGCAACTACAGATTTTTAAGTTCTACTGTTTATCCTTGCCATTCAAGTATAGGTATATAGGTCTGCGTAACACGGCGCATTGTATAAGCAAAATAGGCACATTAATGCGTTCGGGAACATTATTGTGGAATGTTGTGAATGATATCTGTAGTAAAACACCAACGCTTGAAACGTTATTTAAATAGTATGTACATAGGTATATAATATATTATTTTATCTTCGACTATTAATTGTACCCGATAGTCAGCGTTTTTGTCTTGTAGGTATTATGTTTATAATTTAATTTTTGTATGGAAGACTTAACAGGTAACAGCGTAGGTATGACGTGTTAAATGATGTTTTCAAAACTGAGTAAACAGATAAAAGTATATATAATTGGATTGTTTACCAAAATATTGAAAATATTTTAACACAGAAATGCGATAATAGTCCGATATAAAATATTATAATGCATATTGGTGTATTAAAACGTTGTAAATTATTGCCATAATAACTATATACTTGTTGATTTTTTCGAATATTAACAATACGAATAATTTTATTGTCGTGTTTCGTACAGGTGAGTGCATATACTTTGGTGGCCATCAGTCTCAACAGGTATAGAGCGATTATATGGCCACTGAAACAAAGAACTAGAAAGAGCACAGCTAAATACATAATAGCAACTATTTGGACAACGTCTGTCGTTGTAGCCATTCCTTTTTTGCGAGCTACTTCGTTAGATCAGGTAACATTTATTTTTAAGCAGTTAATATTTTATTTATTCATTATATTTTTTTTATTTTTAGAGTACAAAAACGCATGTAATCATTGTATAATACAAACTTTAATTTATTCAAATTAATTACGAAAATAGTATTTAATATTTAAATTTGCACCTCGAATACCTGAAATTTGTCTTCTAACATGAGGGCTTTATTGATTTTGAGTAATAATGCTGTTGATTGGTTTCTGACATATATTGTATAAAATATAGCTAAAATTTGAAACAAAATCAACGAATATATTAAATTAATTAAATTATATTATGAGTAGATACGAAAATTCACCTTATGAAAAAAATACTAAACAAGTTTTAAGTTTAAAGTAACAATAATATAAAGTTTTATAATAAATTAAAACTAATGAATATTTTAATATTTTATAATTTATAGAAAAACTTAAGTTACAACACTTATAAGTTATAACCATATAAATATGTATACATTAAATATTGTGCAAGCATATTACTCTCATTCTAAGCCGTTGTTGTACTTCTCGAAATTTTACTATTTAAATTTCTTACTACTATGAAATGTACAGTCCAATCAAAAATTAATCACATAACGGTCATACAAGATGATGATACTTAGACAACAAATTCCTATTGCGAACTCTGAAATTTAATCAGACATCATCGATATTAAATTAAAAAATATTCTTTTTCTTCTATTATCTGTGTACAAGTATAACTTTGAAATATTTATTTTAAATTAAATTAATTTTTTTATATTAATTTTTTCACACAAGTTTTTACATAAGCTTTAACTAGAATACATGCGTCTGTATAATATTATATTTGACTCGTACCAATTTTATGTACTTATAATACCTATATATTATACATTATACAATATTGTTAAAATTTATTTACTATATTCGGTTTTTATTACTCGTTAGAAATACGACATTTACTTTTGCTCTGACAAGTGGTCAAGTGAATACACCCGACGGTTCTCTAATGCTTCATTATTTGTACTGCAATGCTGTATTCCATTTTCCGTCCTGTTGTTTACTAATGTTCGTATTGGAATTGTCGTGTGGAGTAAAATACCTCCCGGCGAGGCACAAAATCCCAGAGATATTAAGATGGCCAAGTCAATAAGAAAAGTAACACTTTACAAATACTAAGAACGTCAAAATATGTCAAAATTTTTTTTTCGATTTTCATAGATGATAAAAATGATGGCAACTGTGGTCATAGCATTCGTCGTTTGTTGGCTGCCATATGATATCCTTTTGGTAAGTTCTCCATATTTTCTTAATTTTATAGGTAAACATTATACCTTACAGACACTCGCTCCGCTTTAACTATTTATATTAGCTTAAAAATTAAAACGATAAATTATGAAACTTCACTTACCAACCAACACGTGTTTATGTAAAAGTTGATTCAAGTACTGTTTTATTCATGTATGAATCCTCTGAGGAATATTGTATGCTACATGTTTGAAGACATTTTTAAACCAATTCAATAAATAATAAAAAATTATCGTTGTAAAGTGTAATTTAAATTGAAAAAAATGTTTTAAAAATTTAAAGTCAATATAACTATCAATTAATATAAAAAAAAAAACAATTTTCTCCAACATATCGTGCAAATTATATTATGTAATATTATAACAAGACGGTCCACTAAGTCATTTTGAATAAATTAAAAAATTGTCCTTATCACCCTTGACATAGGCATGTGAGGTATAATAAATTAAAACGATCAGGACAATTTTTTGTACGTGTTTGTAGTACAGTTATTAGCATTTTTTTAATATTTAAAATGTTTATATTATAGATATAACCTACACGAATTTAAATTAAAACTAATTAAATTTTAATTTATAACTGCTTTGCACTCTTGTATATACGCATAATATAATACCTAGTACTATAATTTGATTTATCGATCGATTTTCTCAACTGAACTGTGCGCGATTTGCATTTGGTAATAATATACCTAATTAATATACACAATACCATACTTTTGAGAGACTCGTCCGTCTCCGAATATGATACAGCGATGGATGACGATGGTACCTACTATAACCATCATCAATTATAGTAAATCGTTTAAAAAATGTAGGTCGATATTATTATCGTAAACGTTTTTGATATAAAGTATCTACCCATACACTGATACACAATATGGGCTCATACTAGTTGCCTAATCTAACCGAGGTCACACATAGGTCGATCGATGATTGATTGAATAATCCATAGTGTACGATTTGCCTCCCAAATTTTTTTCGTAAATAAAAAGGTTATATAGTACTATAGTTGCTTCCCAGTGGTATAGGTAGTAAATTCACGGTAAAAGTGATTTAGACATATTTTGTAAGCACCCAAAATAGATTGTTTGTTAATGTTGGGCCTCGGTTACGGTTGGTTGAGAATCACGTGTATGTGGGGCGAGGATTCGCCACTATAAATACCCCGGGTGGTCACCCATCCGGGAACTAGCGACGCCGGCCGGTGATTGACCTCGGAACACGTTACGATGGCCAAGGCCGGCCACCGAGCCACTTCAGGCCCCTCCCACTATTATTGTTATATATATTATCCCTACATTATTATCATAATATATGATTATTGTGGTACCCGTGTTCCGCACAATGTCGCAGGTGTTGAGGGCGTTCGGGATTTCGCTGCGTGAGTGGAGCAACCAGCCGTACGTGTGGTTCGCGTTCCACTGGCTGGCCATATCGCACACGTGTTACAACCCGCTCATCTACTTCTGCATGAACACCCGGTACCGGGCCGGTTTCGTGTCGGCATTGCGCAGCGTGCCGGGGGGACTCGGGCACGTGCCGGCCCGCCGGGACGGCGACGGCCTGCCCGGACCCGGTTGGCCGCGCACTCGGTCCGAGGTTCTCGTTCGACAGTTCCGGCTGCGCGCCTCGTCTGAAGTTCTCGTTCGACAGTTCGGGCTGCGCGCCCCGTCCGAGGTTCTCGTCTGACAGTTCCGGACGCTCGCCGGCGCCGATTTCCGCGTCGGATGTGATACCATATAGTACCTGTACCTACCTATCAATATTATGACGTCACACGCTTTCCGGATATACCCGAAAAACTTCGTTTGGCTTAAGCGATATTCTTATTATATACATAAGTAGGGTTTGGATTTCAAGGCAATATTATAAGTAAACTGTATAATAAGCACTGAAAATGTGGAAAAAATCATTTGTGGAAATTTAAATGTGGAAAAACAACCAAACGACAATCGACAAATGTCAACTGACAAATAATCTTGAATCTACGCGTTAAGAACATATTTTTTTTAAATCTATAGACAGGTAGCAGGGATTAATGTACTTTCATAAATGTTAAATTAACTTGAATCAAAATATACTCGACAAATATCGCCGATAACTCATGGGAAACAATGTTAAACATAACACCGACCATGCGTCGTCTTCACGAGGTCTTATCGATATGTACCGTCAATACGTATATATAGTATATACAACTATCAAATCCATTGAAAATTAAACACAATTAAATTTAAAAGAGAAAATAGCAAAAAGACGCAACAAATATTACTTCATTATCTTAGAAATTAAATAAAACACATTTTGATATAAAAATATTTTTCTATTATAAAAAAAAAAGTAAATTGCCTTCAAATCCGAACCATTTATAATACATATTATGTATAGCGATGAGTGTCATGTGTGTATAATAATCCATATCCGCTGCAACGCGGAACAAAATGAACAAAATCCATTTGTGCTGTACAATTATTTTTATTTTTTGATATTATTGTTACCTATGTATTGTTATGTATAATATTATAATGAATATAACAGGAGCTGGGAATAATAAAGTGTATATTATACTTCAAAAGTGTTAAAGACTTATAGGTACCCGAGCTCCGACACTTGTAGCTTTGCGGGATTGTAAATTTTATTGACATAATAATTATTATTGGTTAAATAACTATAAGTTGTGCTTTACAATTAAATTACTATATAGACATCATCTTCGACACTATATTATTTGTTAACATGCACCCGGTTACCCTGACGAGAGTGCCCATCGTTTCCCATTTTCGTGGTTCTATTTTGAGCGATCTGCAGTGTTGACATTATAACATATTATGATTCCCTTCGTGATATTGTTCTTTATTTTAGTTGTAATACAAATCTTAATAATATTAATTTTAACGGATTATAACGTAATATAATGAATGTTTTGTTCTGCAGCAAGCTTTTAATTAGCAGCCGACAATGTTATACCTATTATATGTGTCAATATAATAAAAAAGATTTCAGTGTTTGGCAGTGTGATTTGGATTTCAGCCGTCCGATATATTATTTTATTATTATATTGTTATAATAAATTGTATTGTATATTATTATTTATTATAATGTATAATACCTATTAGTACGCTCTCGGCTACTCGAGTGTGTGACTGTCTTCCGTCGAAGTCCATCGAAGTCTCTGTCTTAAATTCTAAGGACATAAGTGGACCTAATCGAGTGAGTGCAAAGTAAATCCTTGTATTATATTATGTGCAGCATATTAATATTTGACATCTATCTGATATAGTCGGGTCTAGTATGACCGTTCGCTAAGTTGGTAAAGAGGATTATAATATTATAATGTCATGTGTTACCTATAAATATAATATTTATATAGACTACCGCATGATTACCACACTAGCAATAGTAGTATAACACTGCTGATTGAATACTGAATAGGTATAGTGTCCATCATAGTGTTCTATATAAATCGTGTTTTGTGAATACAATAAAGTACGATAAAAAAATATTTGTGCACTCTTGCGCTGTTTGATTTATTTGTGTCACGAGCTAAATCTATAATCGTCTTACCATCGGTAATATCTAAGTCGACGACCAATATCTTTTTAACTTTAGCTTTTTACTTTACGTGATTTAAGATGGCATAGTCGTATATAGTTTCACGTCCGTGTCTTTTACACCTTATCGACCACAGGTAATAATTTTCCAGCAAACATCAGTCCCAAGACTTCATCGACCACAAATAGTGATTCCTAGAGCAGTTCATTGTCAAGGTAAGGCGTTAACGTTTACAAGAAATGTTTAACACACAATTTGGTAGGAAACTCTTTAATTAGATTAAAAAAATAACTCACTTGAGCTGTGTTACAACAATCGTCGTTTGTCCACGTACAACATTTCCACAAACACTCTTACCGAACTCCGCGTCAGAAAAGAGACTCGTATCTATGTAGATAATATAATGGTTTGATTTTTTTTTTAATGGTATCTCTCAATCTAAAGTAGTATGTATAATGTATATGTATAATGTATAGTGTAGGAAATGCATCCATTCGATCGAGGAAAATTTGGTATTAAAAAAAGTTTTTTAAAGATTATTCACACATTTCACTATAGGTACCTACACACACTTACTTGATCACAGTTTTAAAAAACCAATACAATATGTCCTATGTAATATGTTCTACAGCATATCAAAAACGAGGAGACTCCAAGTCCTTTTTATAATTTTCGTATGCTTGTATTATTACATAATGTGATACAATTTTAAATTACATAATGTTCAATCAATCATTAGTACCTAACACTTGAGTGTTTTTAAATAATAAATAAAATGTGGAACTTATTTGTTTCAGATATAAAAATTTAAAAGGGATAAGTCGTTATATGAATGAAATTTGAGCATGAACATAAAAACTGAATACATATTGTCTAAATCGAATCTCGGTGAATGCTATTAGAGGGTATAGTAAAACTCCACATCGCTAACACAGTCAGATTTGAACAAAGGTACCTAATGTTGTTTTCATAAGTACAGTATAGGTCCTTTCTAGGTTATATTTTATTGCCTATTATAATGTAAATAGTAAAATATATAAATAAATATTATTGAGCAATTTTTTAGCACCAATATTTACATCCATCTAATTTTCAAAAACACACGAGAAATATTATCATTAAAAACCCCATTCCTGTTTTTCTGATAACAATATAAATAACAATTATATACTTAGTATTTTGGTTAACCTCAGATTAGAACTTAGAATTTTGTAAATCTCGATTATTATACTCGAGGGCCGTGACAACACTCATAATATATTGTGTAGATATCATAATTTTGTTATATTTTGTTTTTCAATGACATGTCTCTAAAAGTAATTTGATGTGTCATGCCGTCATGGCGTGTCACATGATCGCTGCATGCTTACTCCTGTTCTAAATATATTAGGTACCTAATCACAAGTTATGCTCGACAGAGCTGTTCTATTTATTTGAAGTGATAGCGTGTCACTCGGTAAACTCTTCGCCAACTGTACAGAGGAGCATTAAACCTGCTTATCCGTGTTTTTTTTTTTAAATTTAATTTTAATATGAGTAGAAGGCGAAAAAAATTAAGCGGTGGAATTTCGGAAAGGAGAAAAAATACATTTTTTTGTGATGGGTAGAACACACTTCTGTGTGTATAGTAGCCGAGAGTGGCATTTTAAAATCCACCCCCATTCGTCATATTCCAGAACAAGGAATACACATATGCTTAGTGCTTACACGTATGTAATTGTATGCGCATAAACATTATTTTTACGGTGAGTTTATGCTGTCATACTGAAGACAGTTTTTTTTAAACAGTAGACTTTTATAATATTAATATTGTATTTTAACTGTATTTAATAACATAATATTAACGTTATTATTTTACATTCAAACGGAATCGTTCACACAAATATATTACACTTAATTATTTTAATAGTACATATTTCCATCAAATTACACAGCATAAAATCATGAGACATCACACGTGTAGGACACGTGTGATGCAACTGACGTGGGTACAATAAGCTGGATTACTTAAACCTGGATATAATATAATATAGATAGGTATAGACACGCTTGGTGTCTACGTTTATTTTTGTTTTTTGAAAAATCACCGGGAGAAAATGGGTTTGGATGATGAGTCTCGAAGTGTAGGTTTTTGTAAGTAAAAATAATTTTCAATTACGTCATTCGTGGAGTGGTCGAAGTGGTTTTTCATCCCTTCACATAATACTATCGTACATTTTTTCAATAAAATCACATCCCTCCCGAAAAAATAGTAATTTTAAACTATTACAATAATATCTGCGCATTGTTCATGTTTTCACAAAAACCAAGACTTTCTCATCTCTATAATCGTTGCTTTAAACAAAAAAAAATTAACAAAAAATTGTTTTTATTATTATACAAGTTTTTAAAGAGGACGAAACATGACGCGTAGATTTGAACTGTTAAATCACTCTACTCCAACTTGTTTCGAACCAATTTGACCATTTCACAATAACGATAAAGTACATATTATAGACAAAGCTTATACTCGATACTCTTTGATTTATACGATAAAAGATAACATTATAGGAAAATGAATTTTGGACGAGAAGACGCGTCTCGCATTAACAGTAAAAATAGTGATCATAATTGATAGGAAGTAACAACTTTTGAATCCAAAAACTGCACACTTTAGAAGAAATACAGTACGACACCACACATTTTTAGTAGGTTAAAACAGCACATTTTTTTTTAAAAAAGACTGTTGTATTTAAAAACCACACACTTTCTAATTAATTTCTAATTTGGCAAAACGCTATATTTTTACAACATAAAATGCTTTATTTATAACTTATGTTTATAAAAATAAAAATAAATGAATAAAAATGTATAGAATAAATAACCTACTGTTTGATGGACGTCGTTATCGTGCCCGACTTAAAAAAAATTGATACGATCTCTTTAAAAATTAATGAAAGACATTTGTTTTAAGCACTTTACATTATGTACTCATTTTATACCGATACACACGCGAATACAACTAAATAATCTGCTACTAATTGCGACTAAAATTTCATAAATTTCATACGTCATGATTATAATCGTAGGCGGTACCCATAATGTTATCAACATAACTAAATGTGACAAAATGTCAAAATTACAAAATGCGGTCTATACATTAAAAAAAGTGTGATTGATATTACTTTTTTATCAAACTAAAAATGTGCGGAATTTTTCCATAGGTATACCATAGGCGGCATTTGGATGCGATGGGTGTACGATTTCCCTCTCATATTGGTATTATTCAAAGCGGTCTAACCTTCCAAGGCTGTAAAATTTAAAACTAATGGATTATGAGTATACCTACCTATAGCCATAATATTGCAATGCAATTTGGTTTTGCGGCGCCGTGCCAGTGTTTTCAATTCGTATTTCTATTTTTGAAATATTTATTTTGTATTTTAAATGTTTGCATAGGAAAATAATTTTAAAAAAAATTATCAACGAAATATTTTGATTGTCTTTGCATTAGTTAATGCTCGACAAATATTTTCAATAATTTCCCATGAATACCGTTGAATTTATTTTTTTGTAATTTAAATTAATCAAATTTATGATTGGTATAACGTTAAATATATTAAAATTTAATTTTGGATGGACTCTTCGTTCAAGATAAAACTAAAATCTTCTAATTTCTGTGGTTTCGTCATCATATTATAAACGGTGAATTAATGAGCATTTATTCTACACTTTTACAGGCACATCAAGTCATTTATTATAGTCGCTCTAGAAAAACGGTGGTTTAAATATGTATACAACGATATTAACAATTTGTCGCTTTTTGGGGTAACTGTGGTACAATTCTGCACCCTCTTCCCCCCCCGGTATAATATTATGTTTGCCAAGCGCCGCCTATTTATGACTGACATAAATATTATAAAGTGTGCGGTTTTCGTGTCCGGCCGACCGCCGCCGCGGAGCCTAAGTCAAAAGCGTGCGGTTATCCGTCTCGACCGCACCGTGAAAACTGCCCTTTCCCGGATGTCCGGCCACCGCCGGCGACCGCGACGTCGCGCGAGCGGTTCCGGCGGCGCTCAGAGCGTTTCCTCGTGCCAGTTCCGGCGGCTCCGGCCGTAAGCCGCGGGCCGCCCGTTGAACGACTTGAGCCGCGACTTGACCGACACGAACGACGACGACGTGTTGATCCGGTGCAGGCCGTCCGCCTGGCTTTGGTCGTTGTGGCTGTTGTAGTGGTGCGACTGGTGCTGTTGGGCCCGCAGGTAACCGCCCAAGCACCGGCTGAACCCGGGAACGTTGCGCAGAACTGCCGCGAAACCGGCCCGGTACCGGGTGTTCATCCAGCAGTAGATCAGCGGGTTGTAACACGTGTGCGACATGGCCAGCCAGTGGAACAGGAACCAGACGTACGGCAGGCTGCTCCACGAGCTCAGCGACGGTTCGTGGTCCCACAGGATCTGTGACACACACAAACATATTATATATTATGAATTATTTATGATATAAGCATTATTGTTCTGTGATATAATAGCGTTATCGTTTATCGTTGTGGGTCGGGTGACACGCATTGGTGACGATAACGATTGGCCGCATCATCGTTATAAGTCATACTAATATTTATTGTTACTTTAACACTTTATTAATTAAGAGTTGAATTTAAATAATGAAATTACTACTACAGCGTTACTGCTAAAGTAATTTCGTTACAGCAATTTGTAACTTTTGTTAAGTTACTATACCCAACACTGGTAATAGGTACCTATGGTATGTCATGTTAGTATTAGACCGAATAGGCGACCACTGTATTATTAAGGATAACATCCTTGTGAATGAATCGTTTGTATACCCAAGTCATTGCCTGCGTATGATAATAAAATACTATGGTTCGAGTACGTATTATTTAATTTTATAATACTTCTTCAGTAAAAAAACCATCTCTTTTTATACTTAATAATTTACTGAAATACTATAAGTAGGTTTGGCAATTTCTTTGACAATTTTTTATGCGTATCAGCCGAAACTCCCATTTATAATCGTACTTTAGTTATGTCAGATAGCTGTCACATAGTATTTTGATGTATTTATTTTTGGAAATATAAAAACGTTTTTCGTAAAATATAATATAAACGTAATTCCTATGGAGTAACGAGTCATTTTCCAAGTTACCTATTGAATTAAGTTATGAATGACAAAAACTAGGGGCTAGGATATTCGAGAAAAATTAAAAACCATTAAAATTTATTTACGATTCTGAAACATTTTATAGTAAATAATAATCAACAATATTTTTAAACATCCCAAGAATTAATTCGTGTGTCTTATACATTTTGTTCATGTATAACATTAAGTCATTAACAATGTACCTACTAACCTACTGCCTAGGTACTTATTATCTATTATGGAATATCGATACTGATTTTGTAATTATTTAAAAAAAAAAGTAACTGGAGGTTACGGTTGGTTGGAACACTTGTACCTATATGTAGCGTGGATTTGTCACTAAAAACCCTGGTGGAATATTGCCTAAATACGACCTCTTAAAAATGGCACTCTCTCGACAGCCTTAAGATTTAGTTTATTTTATTATCATTTCCGTCTAGAAATCGCGGATGTGTAGGATTTCAGAAAGATATAGCGATATTCGACGCCGCGGGTGTACCTACCTAAGTAAATTACTTCGCTAAACGTACGAGGGGACAAAAAAAAAAAAGGAAGGAGCAGTCTTCTGCCGGAGTCAAGGGTTCGGGTGCGAACACGTCTATAATATACTGCAGCTGCTATGTATATAGTTTAGTGTTCTAATATTTCAGCGTCGTTACCAGTTATATATTATTATATCTTAGACGCAAAACGTTTTCGCACTCCACTCCGCCGACTCTGGTTTCACTCGCTCAGCTACGTCTATGTAAAGCACACGAGATTGCCCCTATTCCATCAAGTCCGGCGATAAAGTGGTGAAAATATCGCGTGGGCGTGTGCGGGTTAAGTGTCCGCGACGAGGAAATAATGCGGTTGCCGCGGTCGCTTTGGTAACCGAAGTGATTATGTTTACGCGTGTGTGTGCGACCGGACGACCGAGAGAGAGGGCAACGGTAGGGGAGGGTCATCATTATAATATACGTCGTAGAGGAGATATTAGATTCACGGGGTTTTGAGCATAATAATAGGTATACGGAGGGAGAGACGCCACGTAGCTTATAATATAGGTATATGTACACAATGGCCGAATTGATAATGCCATAATATAGGAATTAATAAGAATATAATAGGCGCGGGCGGAGCAATAATCAAACACAACAAAAGATTTGTACCTATATACTTATAGCGTATTATGTGATTACAATTAATAAGCGCCGCGAGATGTAAAAAGAGTAAAAAAGGTCATCATCGCGAAACGAACAATAAGGAAAGAAACGCATTTAAGAGTAGGCCTCGCCACGGCTACAATTACTTAAGGGGCAAAATTTAGACGATTTATATTCTCGTCTTAGGGTTCTATGTGTTGGTCGTAAATGACTATTCTGCCGTGTTACGCAGGATAACTCGGATTTTTCGTGAAAAACGAGATTTTTGTTTTTACAGATAATATTTATGGTTACATATATAGGTACCTATTTTTTATGTAAAAATATCGTATTTCCCATTAAAAGCCATCTTAAAATTCAATTTAAAATAAGATAATATGCGGTACCCAAGTCCAATATAATATTTGATGTCTTGTAAGCAAACACTCTGTGGTCTGTATATCACATGAAAAATAATGGAGTTACAGTGTTTTGGCTTATGTTCATAAACATTGGAGAAAAAGGGTAGGTATTAACGTGACGTAAACTTTGGCCACATTTTATAAATTAAATGACGATGATTTGGTATAATATTTTTCGATTTAATAAACTGATATTGTTAAGATTATATGGTTTGATGGCCATCATTGTTTATCCTTATCGTTATTATAATGATGTGCTGGTTCATATTATAATCAATCAAATTAGTGAATTTATAATTATTTTATTGATAAAACTGGAGTTACAGGTTTTTGTACATACAAACAATGTTGTATGATTATAGGCTAAAACAAAGTATGTCCAAAAGCGTCTAAGAAATAATCCGGTAAGTCCATATTATTATGAAGTTATCAATTCCTCGCTTAGTAAATACTCCGATGTTAATTTTAAGATCAGTCCATTTTCTAATTAAAAAATTCAAAAAGTTGAAATAAAAAGTGTTCAACCGATTTTAGATGTAAAATTGTATAATATATCACCTCAAGTTTTGATACATTTTTTTGTAGGCTTGATAAACTATTAAAAAATATATTTCGCTGTTTTTATACAATCGTATTGACTGGAGTCATTCTGTTTTGTCTTAGCACGACGTCTATGAAGTTGGCCCACCCACTTTGGCGTGGCGACTCAAAATCTTCAGCAACAGTAAGTTTGAGAGTTAATTGCCAAAATTCATGGACGTCTTAGCTAGTATGAGTGAAATTCAATGCGGGTACCACTCTTGTACACTTATGCACATGTCAATAACTCGATAAAAATTTCAAATTCACTATACAAATTTTACGACAACTTACTTATTGTTTTGACGCAATTAAAGATAGTTATAACGTTGTCCGATTTTGATCCTGAAAAATATTTGTATTCACCAGGAAAATGTATGCATATCGCAACAAACCCTTTCCGTTTTTCATATTAATTGTAATTTTAATTACGATTTGAAAAAATTCATATTTTCAAGTTTTTGACAATAGTTCACAATAATATAAGAATATTGATTTTTACAAAGTGTCCCGTACAAGATATCTATGGACAATTTTGTGTCGACTTAAATTTTTTTTCAGAACCAAAATCGGTCAACGTAAACTAACTTTAATTTTGTCTAAGCTTGAGGTGTTTTGAGAAACAATTGCAGGTGGCAGTAGCGAGGTATCTTGTCCGATTTTGATTCTGAAAAATAGTTGTATTCAGCAGGAAAATGTATGCATATCGCAACAAACCCTTTCCGTTTTTAATCTTAATTATGATTTGAAAAAATTCATATTTTCAAGTTTTTGACAATAGTTCACAATAATATAAGAATATTGATTTTTACAAAGTGTCCCGTACAAGATATCTATGGACAATTTTGTGTCGACTTCAATTTTTTTTCAGAACCAAAATCGGTCAACGTAAACTAACTTTAATTTTGTCTAAGCTTGAGGTGTTTTGAGATACAATTGGTGGCAGTAGCAAGGTACCTTAACAGGTCGTATATGTATAAAAAACGCTGTTAGTCGAGAGTCAGTGAGTTTATTTAATAGATGCTGTTTTTAAACATGAGATTATATTATTATGATGGTTTGATAATACGTGGCTGAGTGGCTCATACATCGATTACACATTTATTGCCTCAAACAAAATATGCTTTTTTTTAATAAAATCTCTAAATTAATATTATAATTAATTTACAATTATAGGCGTTCAATCAAATAAATCATTTAAAAGTAATGCAAACCGGTAATCTGTTGACAGGAAATGTGTAAAATTTAAATCGTTTTTCCAGTAGACTAGTCTACAGCTGTGCTCGAAAAATCAAATAAATCAAATTATAAATGCATTATACATAATATTGTAATACTATGTTTTGGCGTCTGAAACAACCTAGGCCAAATTTTAGAGACGCAATAATTATCAATCTTAATGAAAACATTGTTGTTGTCTTTAAATTTTAATATTGAATAATATTATTATTGACAATTTTTTTTTGTGAAAATGTTGTGACAATACAGTTTACTATAGTTCTACAGTTTCACGTCTCGAAACACCACGGTGTATACCTAAGTAGTGAACTGTATTGGCACAATAAGTGTTCATCATTGAAAAATGTCAATGGTGGTGCTGGGGGGGGAGGGGGGATTAACACACAAACCCTCTCCCCTGGCTACAACAATGATGTTAGCCGCCAGGTCTATGAAACTCAAACTATATGATGAACATATTATGAGCACATAATTTAACGTTATTCATAATGTGTGGAACTTTTTTTCTCAAACCGTTTATTATAATTTTATTATTGTACTCTAAGTTTTAATAGTTTTACGCGTGAACGAAATTATTGTATCAAATATGTGTTATAAGATGAAGCACTAAAGAGAGGGGCTACGAGAAAACGAACAGATTTTTTTAAACAAAGGCCTTTAATAAGCAACAACATAAATCCCTTGCAAAAAAATTTACATTTATGCAAATTATTCAACACCTAATAAGTAGATGTTAGACCAAATGAAATTATTGTGGTAGGATTTATCGTAAAAATTTGTCACAATAAGTATACCTATCTAAAGAAACGAATTGAATCAAAAGTTTCAACACTAAATAAAGAATGATTAACTCTGCAGTGTATCGTAATCTCGCTGTGAACGTTTTATATAATTCTTCCAAAACTATTCAAAAACTTTAAGTTGTTTTATATATAGTTGTAAAACATCTTAATTTATTGTCTATTGTCACGGAAATACCATGTAAAATTGAGAAACTCATATTGTTCCAAGTATTTAGAATTTACTTTCTTCTATTTCTTTAGTTTGTTACGATAGGGGTATTACATTCCTAAAACGTCTTACGGAATGATATCCTAGATAATTATAAATTGCTTATAATATTGTTGGATTTGATTTGGTCTACGTCATAATACGAAAAAAAAAAAAAATTAACAGTAAAATATAAACTTGGTACAATCAATGTTCATTGTTATATTTTTATTTATGAGTCTATAAATTTTAACGTTTGATTTTCGATTAAAAAACACAATTTTTTATATTATATTCCTCTAGTTTATTTATTAAACATTAAAACAATTATCAACGATCTGTTATAGTGTAGTGTACAAATGTGTTTTGAATTTTGAAGTAAAACTTCTTTCTTGAGGTGTGAGTGGAAAAAAATCGTAACGAAAAATGAAACGACACGTTTGTTTATTTATTTATTCTACAAGTAATGCACAGCGTTCTCCCTAATTTACTTATAATTTCACGGACCCCAATACTTATGAAAGAAGTTTTACTTCCCCAGATAGTGTAATGGTGGGTTCACGCACTCTCATAATTAAATATTATTTCGATTTATAGTAATTTAAAACATCTGATAATATATTTCCTTGGAAGCACCAACCAACATAGACAAAATTATTTTGTTTCAAACAAGCCGCACTCAGTTTATACATCATATTATACCTACTTTTCTGAGCTAGCTATACGCTGCATATATTATTATGTCATACACAACATATTAGATCTGTTCAATAATATGACTTATCGCCGCGCAAGATTTGTTATGCCCAAACCGGAGACTTGCGATTGGACGCTTAGTAGTGTCGACGACAAGAAGATGGCCGTAGGAGCGATGCACTCTGTCGAGTCCAGCCGTTGCGATGCAACTTGTATTTTCATGTCAGATCTGCCTTGGCCGTGGATCGTCCAGCGAGCAGTGTCCTTCACGGCAACCGCATCGTCGTTTGTGGGTCATCTGACTGCCGTCCTGTGCTCCTTGTCCGGGGTCGAGGACGACGAATCGACAAACGTTCGTATACTGGTCGGGAACGACCACTTCGACTCCATGACGGTCCACGGTGGGCGGTTGTTGGACGACTTGGAGCGTGCCGCGAATGTCGTGACAGGTGGTTACGAGGTGTACCCGTTGATCGGCGAAACAGCTGTTCACGTCGTCGGCCGACCGACGGCGGTCGCGAAGTTTGCCTGTCTGCTGGACGAGTCGCTGTGCGATGAGACAGGGGCGGTCGTGGCCGACGGTCGGCTCGTCGTGAACCGACAGCCGATCGAACAACGAATCGGCACTGCGACTTTCGGAACTGCCGCAAGATGGCCTTTTCGAGTGCCCGTTCGAAATGTCCGGCGTGTAGTCACATCGTCCCCCAGGATTGTCACACAGCCATCACGACCAGAATACGTGGTAACCGATCGGCCGATCGTGGAACACTCTTCGCGGTCACTGGTAACTGAACCATCGACCAGGTGTGTATCGGCTCGGAGTAGACCCCAGGCCATGTACAAGGCCGCATGTACATGGGGATGACGGCCGCCTCGAAACGTTGCTAACATTGTATGTAAGGCTGTCCACATCATTGACTATGTGTTATTCTCTTGTTTTTATTATTTTTTATCGATATGTTAAATACACCAAGAAAACCCATAAGCAATATCACCTTCTTAAGCCGTGAAAATTAAAGATTTTTGTATTGGTAAATCGGCACTTATAATTAACAATGATATAAAGTGTCGTCAGTTTTTACGCGTCAAGTGAACAGTTTAATTTTTTATATTTTTTGCCATAAATTAATCTCATTTACCATTTATCATCACGGTGCTGTTAGGTATTTACAATTCACTGGTTATACATATACCTATTCACGTAAAATATTGTGTGAACTGTGTTGTTTTGTTGATATCTTATGATTTACTAGCTGATCCCGTGCACTTCGTTTCCCGTTAAATGTACCAACTCTATATGACTCAAACATTGTTCAATGCGTTATTTAATATTCGGTGTATGATGTTCTAGATTTATCTTAACTTTTCTGTTGCCCGGAATAAAAATTCTGAATTGCAGCAGTACATTATCAGATAGGTAATTTACCTGCGGTAGATCGCGGACCCCGTGCTGTTTGTACGTAAGTGTATGATTTAACTCAAAAAGTATACCAAAGTTATACCAAGTTTGACGTTTTTACTTAATTCCACCTACCTATAAATCCTAACCTAACCTAACCGTACTAAAATCCGATGAATAAAAAAAACCAAATTTAACCCTTTTTAAATTAGCGTATCTTCTTCCCATAGGTCTAATCTAAACACCGTCATTCATTTATATATAAAATATATTTACAAAAAATAATAATACAAATCAACAAACATGCCCGATTAACCAATAGCAACCAATATAATATAATACACCATAGAGTAAATAAAGACAACGGTATCGAGTTAAAATCCCAGACATCAATAAATAGTTTTTGCAGTTTTTCTAATTATTCGGTGGACTTTTTAAAAATTTTCTTTCGTAAAAACCTTCACCTGGCAATTACGAACATCTTAAACAAAATTTTAGCAAAATCGGCCCAGCCGTTCTCAACTGATGCAATTTCGAATTTTTTGTCTCCATTTATATATATATATGTTACGGTAAATGATGTTACATCGGAAATTAACGTTATTCGCCGGTTGTTTACGTTATTTACCTACGAATGTGGGAATTATCGTTATTTTCTAGTGAATAACGTTAATAACCGTATGATTTGGGAAATGTTGATTTTATTTTAAAATAATGTCCAACGAGCAATGATTAAGTGATCGCTAAACTAATTGTGGTACTAATTGGGTAAATCAATAACACTTCATCGGCCACAGATAAGGTGGACACTGGGCCTATTCAGTATACAATTACTATACATATTATAACATCGGTATAGCCGTGGAGATTACATTTGAAAATATCATACGTAACGAAAATGTATATAGATTATTACTTTAGTATGTGTACAACTGTCGTCGTATTTACCACTTATTTAAAATGGCTATCGATATTCAAACTGTTCGCACAACTTTCAACGAAAAAATGAAAATTATTCTTACGAGCAAACGAGATGATAATAACTCATTTTTGTCTACTAAAGACTACAATGATGTTATTGAACAAGTTAAAAAATCAAAAATGTGTTTAAAAACTGTCGGTGAAGCTAAAACAATGAAGGACTATCGTGTAGTACGTAAGTACGATACATTAAAAATAAATGGAAAAGAACGTCTTATTAGACCAGTAGACGAAAAAAATGTTGTATTGTATTACGTTAAAATTGACGAACTGTTTGATATTCTTCACGAAACACATTCTGCCATCGGCCACGGAGGACGAAATCGTATGATGGCAGAACTGAAAAATAAATATTGCAATATAACAAACGAAACAGTTATGGTTTATTTAAAATTATGTGTTCAATGTCAGAAAAAAGCAGTGCACCCAAGAAGAGAATTAGTATCCAAACCAATTTTAGAGTCAACTTTCAACTCACGGGCACAAGTTGACCTTATAGACATGTAATCTCAACATTATAATGACTATCGTTTCATAATGAATTACCAGGATCATTTGACTAAGTACGTAATATTGAAACCCTTAAAATCAAAACGCGTTGAAGAAATCGCTTATAATCTTATCGATATTTATACGTTATTTGGGGCACCTGAAATATTGCAATCCGATAACGGGAGAGAATTCGTTAATTCGGTGATTAATGAACTTCATATAATGTGGAATGAAGTCAAAATCGTTCACGGAAAGCCAAGACATAGTCAAAGTCAAGGGTCAGTTGAACGAGCCAATAGAGACGTCCAAGAAATGCTAGCTGCTTGGATGGGTGATAATAATAGTTCCGATTGGCCATCCGCATTAAGATTTATTCACTTAAAAAAAAATAGAGCTTTTCATTCAGGTACTATTAAGTATTAACATTTTACTTATTTTTATTAATATTGATAGACAGTTGACACTGAGGGAAGCAGCTAGTAATAGTTCGGTTGCGGGCCCTCAAGGGTACCAGCATTGCCATTGCAAGACTGGTTGTAATAATAAACGTTGTGCCTGCCGCGGGGCTGAAAAATAAATTATGTAATAGTAAATGTCATGGGAGTACAAATTGTAAAAACAAATAAAAAATAATAAAGCATTTTTTCTATTTTTAATAATACCTATTTTGTAGTAGGTATTTGAGATTCACGTGCATATCTGGTCTATAACAACAATTACCTGTGTATTTGGTCATTAATGTGATTATCCGGTTTATAACGATAATTACCTGTGTATTTGGTAAATAACGTTAATAACCGGTGAATTACGTTAATTTCCATTTAACATCATTTACCGTAACATATATATATATATATATATATAGATGACTAGGACGATTTCTGATTAAACTTCGAGTTATTGTTATACAACAAAATTACATTCAACATTTTTTTATTACAGTGTTAATAATTTATGAGGTAGGTACCTTGTACTAAATTGTCAATCTACTTGACTATAAACATCAATTCATTATTTTTATCGTTATTCACAAGAAAAAAATTCAAATTTTCACAAAAAGATCTAATAATAATTTTTGAATTGTTTAAATTGTTAAGCATCTAGGTTGTTCACTTTTGCGAAATAACAAAATCGATTTTGCCGAAAACAGGGTTTGCTGATAAATTCATGTTATACACGATTTTTTTTCACTCCTAATAATTGTAAATGAAAGTACTGCGTGAATGTTTTTTTAAAATTTTTTTTTTACTTTTGACCACCGAAGTAAGTATCGCTACACTTACTTTGTTACGAGAACAGATTTTAAAGTCAAGGATTAATCTTGATGAATTTTTTCTACTATAAAATGTTTTTTCAGACACAAAAATAAACAACTAAAAAAACACACATCATTACGTTAAAACCAATACGTTTGCTATATATTATATATTTCCTCTAAATAATAACGAATAAATAAAATACTTTAGCTATACTTCTTAAAAAATTTTACACAGTGGATACCGAAGTCAAAATTAAATGATCACAAATAAATAGGTAGTTACGAGTTATTTAGAAAATATTATAGTAACTATGTATACAGAATTACAGACTGTACCTATAGCAATGTAGGCATATAATATATAGTATAATGGATCTTGCTCAAGCGCCCTTCAAAAAATATATTTGTATTTTGTTCATAAATTTTGGATAGTAATATTATTTATGTCAAAGTTATCTTGTATGATTTGTGACTTTTAAGTAACAGATCTAACGGTAAAAATACCAAGATATCAATACTATGGACTATATGGTAAGAATACCTGTCTGATCATTCACTTCTAACGCGTTTCTTTTGAATTTATTCCTTCCAAATTTCCAAAGTGCATGTGTTTTTTTTTTACCGGGAGATTAGTAGTCCAGAAATATACTTTATACTTGGGTATAAAAGCTATACGATTGTATGTCAGTATAACAAAAAAACATGGGTTTTGAAGCTGTTATAACACGCGAGGTCAATTGCATACGAGTCTGCAATGAAGTACAACATTTTATGTCTTTGCTATCCTCGATATCATATTATGTAGCACACATCTAGGTAATATTTATAGGGTAATTGATAAAATCAGTTGAAAGAATGTACGTCTGTTTGTCTAGCTGTCTGTGTGTCCATATTACCATGGAAACCAAATGTAACGTAACGTTTTTCGATTCTGTGTGCCAAAGCATAGACATAAAATGTCAAAAACAAATTTTATTTAGCAGTCGGAAATATTGACTACCTAACGGTAATAATTATGTACCCATTTATCATATTTTATGGTTGTACAATATTTATAAATAAATTGTGTACCTACGATAATTTATTGAAAACATGAAGTCATGAAGTGTTATCATAGTTGTTAAACCTATAATAATGTGCAGGAAAATATTGAACTTAACAGTAACGACATTTTGTATGATTTCGTAACAAAATAACGGAATAAACAATATGTATTTCGATTGAAAATTATAATTATCTAGTGAAGCTAATAATTAGATAAGTGGATTTTTTGTTTTCTATGTACTTAAAAACAATGTTTTAATTATCTGGAAGTTTCAAGTCTGTTAGAATGAGAGGAAAAATGTATTGACCAAATGTTACCAAAACGCTTTACTACAAAAAGCGGTTAAGTGTATATTGCTCTGCTGTACGGTAGGTTACAAGTGGGTCAATGTATAATGGATTGTATTAAACTTGAATTCAATGATATAATATCTCGCATTGTATAAGAGAAACGATTCTGAGTGGAGACGGTTTGTCATTCTGGATATATTATATTGTTATTAATTATTATATTCTGTAAGTTGAATTAATATAATAATATTTTTATTTTTATTCGTTTTTATTGTGATAAACGAAGCGTTGGAAATTAATATCCCATTTTTAGCAGTTTTTCGTGATTTGTCGGTGGTTTTTCCAGTGGCATTAAATAATTATTAAGAAAATCGAAAAATGACCTCTCTAAAGTACAATCTTGATCAAATTTGCTAAAAGATAAGGTACTAAATAATATTATGTTGAAATCGAAGAACTCCTTCTGGTAGAAATTTTGGATAAAAAAAAAATAAATACCATTGTAAAACCACTATAGCTTCCTCGCTCCTCTCAGAGTCTAAAAGGACACCTAACTCCTAAGGACACATTGGAATATTTAAAACCATTCGATCAAACACATCATGCTAAATTTCCCAAACGCATTGCAATTAGTTACAAATTCACACAAACTCGAAGTTCGAACTATATTTTTAAAAAGTTACCTATTCAAAAATAAATAGATACAGCCGTTAAGTCTGTCCTGCACTTGATCTGTATATGACTATCAGACACCATTAGTTGACTTTGCAGTCGTTGCCGGAAATGAAATGGGTGGTCTCATCATTACGATGACATACTTCCCCGGAAGATGCGGAGGGAATCTGTTAGGAACCCAAAATTAAACCACAAGCATTTTTGGATAGGATTATTATAATATTCTATTCGATTGGAACTATGGAAGGTTTATCAATTTAGAACCCACAAATTGTACACGATTTGGCATTGTATACATTGTCCTGTATCCAATAGTTAGAGGTTATCAACAAATAACATTTCTAATATTTTTAACCAAACGATTTCTGTGATTTGTCGTCTGCAAAAATAGTCATGTTTGGTGTTTACAGTTAGATAATAACCAGAAAAATATAATTAGGTCCCCAATTTAATGGGTTTTTTTTAAAATCTTTTTATCTTATGTAGTTACAAGTTTAATAAAAATAACTAATTTTTTTATAAAAATAACTTTCGAAAAACAAATAAATATTAACTTGATATTTTATTCTCGTTTAGAACTAATGATGAATTCCAGCCATTTAAAATTATAATTGTTGTTCTAATTAATATATTTGTTATGATTCATATTAAAAACGTCTCAGTATAAGAATTAAATAGACATTTAATAATTAAATAATAATATAAAAAATAATAAAATTATCACCGTTTATCTATTTGAATTTTTTATAGCCGTGTTATTATTTTAAACAATTTTTTTTTCTAATTGAAACACTGTAAATATAATATAATTATAAGTAATTAATTTAAATTTACAACAAAACCTTTACAACTTCAAAGAGTGTACAGAATTTAATTGATTAAGAAAATTATATAACTCAAAAGAGCTTATAGAAATAATAATAATAACAGTGCCTCATTTGTTTGCAATATTATTATGTTTTTGGACTGCCGAGGCCTATGTTTTTCATCGGAAAAAAATATATTTAATTTAAAAAAATTATTTAAAAATGTATTTAATTTTCTTAGATTGTAGTTGACTGTAAATGCGTTTCGTTTGTTCTTGAATTTACTAAAGCCACAGTCGTCCTCATATTGTCATCGTTACTGAGTTTTTTATTCTGTTTCTAAGCTCGTTACAACAATAATCACGGTAAATTGGTACTTCAATAATCCTTTTTTTCCACCACGTTAATCTTCTTTTGAACTTTCTCGTAAATAATATATTAAACCACAAGACTATAATTTCACAACCTTCGAGAAAAAATTTACCTCACTGTGCGATATGTATCCTTAATTATTTAAGCAATTAATATTTTACTCGTACCGTTTCGTTAAATTTCTTCGTTTTATTTTGTTCATTACATCCTCCGCAGAATTACTTTTGCCATGTTATATTATAGTTAAGGATTTGATCTCATCCGCCTTATTTGATAATTTTTTCTACACTCATATTTGAAGTTTAATTTTGTTGGACTTCCAGTGCGAAAGACCGTTGCTATACATTGTACGTTGCATTATTTCTGCTAATATTTTTTAATTGGATATTAGTAATTATGATATGCCTCCTACTATTGTTATAATTTGTTTATTATTGTTTTATTTAACTCCCTCAAATGCAATACACATATCATTAAGCACAGCAGTAAACAAAGTTTGATGTACTCGCATAGTCGATGAGTTCTAATGTCTAAATACGCTTTATTTGATTATATTATGTACACCAATCTCCACCATACACCATTAGTCATATTTGCTCTCCGAGAGAATAGACAATAGAAAATAATAAACGTATGACCGAATCGACTGTTAGATTACAGCTATCTCCCACACGTATCTAACCTAACTCTCCACACAGACCTAAAAATAAAAACAATCAATGGGGAAGCAAAAAATGTTTACAAAAGATTCCACAACTGTCTTTCCTCCCACTCAAATCCTTTAATTAAAAACCTTTCCTCCCTCTAAATCCCCGGCAGCCCTCCTAGTCGTTTAAAACGTAAATGGTGCAGAGACCTGTTACAGTTTCAATCAAAAAAAAAAAAATAAAATAAAAAAATAAATATATTAATTATCTTACAACTTAAAAATCATCATTAAAGTGTCGTCATTAGGTGGCTTCTTTACTCACTTTTATTTTTTGTATACTCATGTTATCTCTTATCATATATACTTATTATGTGATCTGATATAGATTGTATATTTCGACTTAAAATAAAAAAAAAAGATTACAGCTATTAATATCGTTACCTAAGTTATTATTGTTTTATCGTTTCTTAGTTCATAATAAATGTTCAAAATGCGTTAGCTATATTTTCTACTATTCATTCATAGATTTGATAAAAATATAAATAAATACTATTTTTTGCAGTTAATTTACTTTTTCATTTTAGATTCTGAGCGGAGCGATGAATGTATTGGTTTTACAATGATGTACGTTTTTATTTATATTTATTTTAGATTCTGAGCGGAGCGATGAATGTATTGGTTTTACAATGATGTGTGTTTTTATATTTTTATATTTTTATATTTTTGTGTCTGTCATCACGTTTTGGGACAGTAAAAGTGCTTCGATTTTCTTCAATAGTACCTTTTCTGATAGGAAAGTGAATCTAGTTGGTACTTTGGGGGGTCAAAAGTAAACATTTTCCAGTAGTTTTCACAAGCGCCGGGAAAAACAACATAAAAATTAAGGAAAAACGGGAATTTTTACGCAAAATTGGTTTTCCAAAAAATCGATTTTGGTTATTGGTGTAACTCTAAAACAAATGAACGTATATACATGAAAATTTCACTGGTTGTTTATATTTGCATTTTCTATACACGATAACATTTTCAAAATATTTTGATTTATTTTGAACTGTTTAGGGACATTTTCATTTTTCATTTTTTTTTAGTTTTTTTTCTAAAAATATCAATAAAATTTTATTTATTGGTTAAGAAAGCTTGAAAATTTAATAGAAGGCTCCTAATATGTTGTTTCAAAGGCAGATGAAAAATATTAAAAATCCTTAGTCACAATTTTTTTTTATAAGCATTTAAAGTTCAAAAATTTACAAAATATGGAAAAATCACGAAAATTAGCAAATTATTTTGAGTTAAGAATTCGTAAAAATTTTTCTTTTTAAATCTAAGATTTTAAATGAAACACAAGATTCCTTATAAGATTATCTACCTTTATCAATAAAAAAATCTCTACCGGACAGTCAAGTTAAATTTTTATGAGCGTTTGAAATTAAAATTTTTACAACATTGGATATTCACTCGATTTCTCATGTAGCGATTTCCTTATTTTGTTGTAATTCAAAAACGAACAACTGTAGATACATGAAAATTTCACTGAATGTTTATATTAGCATTTCCTATACACCATACAATTTTGAAAATATTTTGACTCTTTTTGAGCTGTTTACGGACATTTTCAGTTTTCAATTTTTTTAGTTTTTTTTTTTATAATTGTCAATAAAATTTTATTTGGTGGGCCAAAAAGTCTGAAAATTTAATACAAGCTTTCTTATATATTGTTACAATATCAGTTGAAAAATTTTAAAAATACATAGACACGATTTTTTTTTATAAGCATTTAAAGTTGGAATTTTGACAAAATTTATCAAAATCTCGAAAATTATCAATCGTTGGAATTAAAAAATTATAAAATGTTCAGTTTTTATAACTAAGAGTTGAAAATTTAAAACAAAGATTCTCTTAAATAATTCATACTGTAGCCAAAAAATCTAAAAAATATATAAACACACTTATTTTTTACAGACATTTTAATTTCAAATTTAGACAAAATTTCATATTTAAACCAAGAATTACGATTTTAGTTATTTTGTTGTGATTGTATAATTTTATTCGTGAGTACTTGAAATTTCTAAAGTAATCTACTATATATATCTATGATAGTATCAGGGTTTGTTGTTGGTGTATAACACGTTATAAGTACCTAATGGATATTGTGATATGATTAATTTGGAATTCATTATAGGTCAATTTTTTTTAATACCATAGATATGTATATAATATGTCTTATACCTAGAAGGACATACCGTCTCCGCTCAGAATCGTTTTTCTTATACAATGATATTATATCATTGAATTCAAATTTAATACCATCCATTATACAATGACCCACTTGTAACCTACTGTACAGCAGAGCGACACCCACTTGCCCACCTTTTTTTTATTATAGTTGAGTTGTACTATCATAGAAGTTAATCAATTCTAATCCTTTTTTTTTGGTCACAGTTGCAGTTTAGGCGATACTCAGATGGTAACATATAATTACATAGGTGCAATAATTAAAAAGTGGCATAATATAATATTATTTACTACAACGTCATATTCCGATCAAGCTTGTTTTGAACATTTAAACTAAATACTCTTTAGTCTTTAGTATAATATATAGTCGAAAAAATTCTAGTTTAAAATTAATTTATGTGATGCATCCGAATAGAGCCGTTTCACACAGTAATGTAATGATAATATTATTCCATATAAAATATGACATTTTTAGTTTAATTAATCGATAATATTTAGATAAAAAATAAAAACAACATTATATTGTGTGACATGCTATTAATGTTTTCATTGTGTTGATATTTTCGATTATGTTTTTTTTTTCCAATAAAAGGTTATTACATAATATAATATGTGCCTATTGATTTTGTCAACAGTAATAACATCATGCACCTATGTTTGATACCTTAAACGATTTCATATTATAAAGCTTTAGTCAATACTCGTTGTTTTTATAGGTAGTTATTAAAAACACTTTTTACATATAGTGTTATTTAAACTAATGTTCAAACAAACAAATGTTTGTATTTTGAATAAATAAACTAATGGGATATTTTTCAAAAAAAAATAGAAGGAAATTAATCACAGGCAATTTGTAAATAATTGTATACGTGATATTTGGTAAATTGTTTTTGTATACAGTTTAATTGATATCAAATATACTTTTTTTTCAATCGTAAAAAAAAATTTGAAATAAAAGATTAATACATTTTTGAATCGTATTAAAAGAAAAATGTCAACCACAGTTTTGTAAAATGATTTTAATAATTCACAGAGAGATTGTTTTTATAATTTGTAATAATGTGATGTATTAAAAAGCCGGAAATGTTTCTTTAGAATTTAAATCTGAGAGCAAAATGCATCCAACGTTTTGTATTAATATCGGGTATGCGTTGATAAAATTTTAATAAATAATATTAAAGAACTGGGCGAATCAATCACACTCAAAATATAATATTATTACATTTACATACTTTCACTGTTCTTTTGGTTTTTAAAAAAAAGTGCACGGGAAGTAGGTTCAGATATAGTACTCAATGTGTAACAGAAGGAACTGACTTTTGGAATAACTTTTGTTCTAATCATTATTTTTCAATTTTCTTTTTATATATGTAATTTATAGCCATTTGTGCTACACTTGTACCTAATAAAAAAAATTATTTTTATTTTTTTAAATTTTAATTTGGCTTAAATTTTTTTGAACAAATTAAAAATAACCAATTTGTGAATCTGATTATAAGAACAATTTGGACGGTAAAAACATTTATCTAAGTCGAGTAGTTTATTTTTTAGAATTTTTTAAAATATAAATATTTTTTTGATTAAATTAATTTGGAACGCAATAACTTTTTTAAAAAATATTATTTTTGGAAATTTGAGAACATGGGTATATTCTTAAAACTATTTACTCATCATTTAATTTCAACAATTTTTGTCACACTTTTAAGTAGAGCATCAATTTTTTTTTGGTCAGTTATTTTTGTTACACCTTGTATATTTAAGAATATGACGTAGTGTTCAAAAGTTTCATTTTTGTTTAATCAATGTTTATTTGTTGACAAAGTTTTTGTTCAGGTATTTAGTAAATAGTTTGTGCTGTGTTATAGAATATTACAATATAAATATAAAATGTTTACATTACCTATTACAAATAGGTACAAACTTTTTTGTTTCATTTTTTATTCACATTGTTTTCATTTTGTTTTTTAAATTTTACTTCTCCAAAATTTGACATTATTTTGGGGTTGTGTTTTAAATTCACTGAATACCTAGTTTAATTAGTAGAAAAATAAAGTACAAAAAAAAAAAAAAAAATGTTTTCATTTCAGAACTCATTGCTTGTCCTGTCGTGTAAGAAGTTGGAACTATTGTAGCTTATATACATCGATAATATTGTCGTGTGTGTTGATGATAGTAATTTTCGGCTATTGGCGGGAAAACGTTGTGTAATATTAATACATTATAATATGATATCGGTGGTGGCACATTTATAATCCTTGGCCGAAAACGGGTATAGTATTAAGAATATGATTATAAAATAATTATAAAAACAATTATTTTTCAATTACTATTATAATAAAATTCAATTAATTTTTTATGAAATTAAATATTAACGAGAATATTATGATAATGTGCTTGTCACAATGTCGAAAACATTAAGGCTTTTGAATGAGTAATTATTGATTGATTATAAATTTAAAAAAAAAAACTGCCAAGCCTGTTTATTATTCCTCAGATGATTAATACGTTAATCGAATGGTACTTAAATACACTTTTGTGAATAAAATCAGTAACACGTGTATAGCTGTTAGCGATTGACAAAGTTTTATAATTTTGCTGTGGTAATAGTATTATTATTTATATATTTTGATTTTAAAGTAAAAACGTGTATATGCATAATGAATATAAAATACACTCACCAGAAGGATATTATACGGTAGCCAACAAACCGTGAACGCTATGACCACAGTAACCATCATTTTTATCATCTGGAAAATTCGAAAACAAAATGTGACAGGATTCGAAATGTCGCAACTTGTCGGAAAGCGTTACTTTTCTCTTGGACTTGGCCATCCTAACGTCTCTGGAGTTCTGCGCCTCCCCCGGAGTCCTTTTGCCCCACACCACCACTCCAATGTTGACATATGTAAATAGAAGGACGGCGAATGGTATGCAATATTGAAGCACCAACAACGCTACATTATAGTAATGCCGGACGTTCTCACTTGGCCATTTCTCGTTGCAAATGTAGAATCCGCATTCCTATAGTGATGTAAATTTTCATGAAAATTTTTTTTGTGCAAAGTTGAAAATTTTATAATTTATCATATTAATTTCTTATCAAATAAATATTTTGATAGTATAATATAGTTATAGTACTATATTAATTAACCTTCATAATCATATTTAAAACTATGTACTTTTATTGCCATTTACCCATTTTAATATTATTTTGGTACTATTCTATTGAACACAATATTATAGTATATACAAAAAACAATTCAGTAAATATATATAATATTTATGTCGGTAATAAATGTGAATTTTTTATTGTATTAAATATGTTATATTTTTACTTCAGTATACCTCAAAAATTAATTAAGTTAAGAAAACTAAATAAAAACTAAAATTTTCAGAAAATTTCAATGATGAAAAAATGTTTAAATTGAAAATTTTCAAGCTTACATCTCTACGCAATCCTATAACGATAGTGAAAGAAATCGATTAATAGAGTAGGTAAGTATAGTCAGTGGCGTATATAGGAATTAATTTCGTTTATAAAAAAAAGGTGCTCATATTATGTAGCACATACCTAGGTAATATTTATAGGGTAATTGATAAAATCAGTTGAAAGAATGTATGTCTGTTTGTCTAGCTGTCTGTGTGTCCATTTTACCATGGAAACCAAATGTAACGTAACGTTTTTCGATTCTATGTGCCAAAGCATAGACATAAAATGTCAAAAACAAATTTTATTTGGTAATTGGAAATATTGAATACCTAACGGTAATAATTATGTACCCATTTATCATATTTTATGGTTGTACAATATTTATAAATAAATTGTGTACCTACGATAATTTATTGAAAACATGAAGTCATGGAGTGTTATTATAGTTGTTAAACCTATAATAATGTGCAGGAAAATATTGAACTTAACAGTAACGACATTTTGTATAATTTCGTAACAAAATAACGGAATAAACAATATATTATGTATTTCGATTTAAAATTATAATTCTCTAGTGAAGCTAATAATTAGATAAGTGGATTTTTTGTTTTCGATGTACTTAAAAACAATGTATTAATTATCTGGAAGTTTCAAGTCTGTTAGAATGAGAGGAAAAATGTATTGACCAAATGTTACCTACAAAATAATTATTCAATTTTAATTTTGATAAATTTTGTCAAAATTCGATATTAAAATGCTTATAAAAAAAAATTGTGCCTATGTATTTTTAATATTTTTCAACTGATATTGTAACAATATATCAGGAGCCTTGTATTACATTTTTACACTTTTTAGGATTTTGAAAATTACTTTGAATTTTAAATTTTGACCTACCCAATGCTATTACCAACAATATTCACTTTCCAATCGAACAAGATACTGAAGTTGAAAATTTAAGCATTATTTCGACTACCTACTTATCATGTACACAGAAACAAAAAAATAAATAAATAAATAAATAAAAAAAAAAACACACACACATAATTGGAAAGTAAATTCACTCATCGTCCCACTCAGAATTTAAAAATGTATTTAATTATTAGCATAAATTAACTTTATTAATAATAAATTATAAAAACTAGAATATTATTTATATTATATATTTTATTTATACGCCTCTAATGCAATTTTCATTTTTGTTTAATCTCGTGTTGCGGCGTTGTTGGGTTTTAGTTAATACATTGATTAAATTAATTCGTATGAGTATAACCTAACCTAAATATTGTAACTCCATAATAACTACTTTTTAGGAAGAACAAAAAACATCTAATTATTTTTGTTTTGGTTCTTATCTAGGGTCCAGATTCTAGACGACATTAGTATATGTCATATTTTAATATCAATAATAATTCAATAAATAAATAATATATTGTAACGTTATTTTGATAAATAATATTCAATCGAAAGTTATGGAGAGGCAACGGTTAAGTGTTTACCTTGGGTGGAGTTGAGTTAATTTCGTCGGAACTTTAACGGCCGATTAAAAGGAGAGAAACTGTCTTTTCAGAGTGAAAATGGTTTTAAACAATGCTTTTTTTTTCTGAAAAGAAAAAATAGTTATCTCAAGATCGTTGTTTTGGAGTTACGATAATTGCAAATTAGACCTGCTACGATATTATATACAAAGGTGGGCATTAACTTGTTAAAAAGTTAAAGTTAAGTTAAAAAGTTAATTTTTTTTTAACTTTTTAACTTAACTAGTTAATTATTTTTGTTTTTAACTTATTAACTTATTCAGTTAAAATGTTTATTGTTGTAACTTAACTTTTTACAGTTAATTATCATTGTCATGCAGTTAAGTTAATTTCATTTTTGAGTTATGCGTAATCAACTAGGCAATACCGATTGGTCGACTTTTTTACGATTTTAGTAATTTATTTTCGAATTATGTATTATAATAATTTAATTTTTTACACAGTGTTAAATATCTCGGTAAATGTTTTTGTATAACAAAATACTATGGTAGTATATGACTTAAAAATATTGTACCTTCAAAAAAATTAACTTTTTTTTAACTGAGATAAGTTAATTTTATTTTCTCTCTTAACTTTTAACTTATCTAGTTAAATTTTTTTTCCTTGTTAACTTTTAACTTAACTGAAGGCAATTTAAATGAATTAACTTAACTTTCCAAAGTTAATTATTTTCATTAACTTGCCCACCATTGATTATATACGTTTAACCGTCAAGGAAAACACATTTTTACACGGCAGAAGGTGTTTGCTGAGATCTCAAGGAGTATAAACAATAGTCTTTGGTTACAATAATGCTATAAACTATTGATACATTGAAAAAATACAAAACAAATTTTTAAAAACATTTTCAATGATATCGTCCCGAACACAACGGCCGTGGTGTTATTACATTGTTCGGAGAGTATCAAGTTTTTGTTTGAAGTAAAAACTAATACGAAAAACTATTGTTATTGTCCCGCGCTTGCACAGAACTTTCATAGAGAAACTTACAATCTATCTTTGCCATATACAGATACGCCGGTTAATAGATAGGTGTGTAGCGTGAAAAGTTATTTGTAACGAAAAGTATAGAGTTTACTATCGCAATAAAATCACTTTTGGAAAACGCATACTTTTAGTTGTGTTTTTTTCCCACAATTTTTCAACCGAGCTGTTATTATACTTGTTTAACTTATCACAATGTATTTCTAAACTTTGTTTTATATATTGTACTCCTTTGGGATACATATATATAAATATCGAAGAGATTTTATTTTTGAACCCGTGCAGTTGTGTACAATATTATTTGTTTGGATTTTGATTGATATTAATACGAGAATTCATTTAGTCAACATTTTCACCCATCCGAAAAGCTGATAGATTCTTCTGGTTTTATTCGAATACACGTACGCATATAGCAAGAGCTCCCGTTAGGGGGTGCAAGGAGGTGAAATGTCACCCCCCCCAAGACGAATATTTTTAATTGTAAATAATAAACTAAATTTACCGATTACCCACCCTCCCCCCTCCATAGGTTCTGATTGGTGTTGGGGCCTTTGATATATAGTAGGTACTATATACCTTTGGAAGATGATTAATCCTGGGAAAAAATTTAAAAAAGGAACAACCTCCGGACAAATTGATTTAATAGTAGGTACTGCTATGATATAACATTATTATAACCTGATGCCAAAACGACGGCTGTTCCAATGTCGTAACTAGGAGAATCGGAAACGCTGTAATCACGGCCACGGTCCAGACCAATGCTATTATGCATTTGGCGTGATGTCTGCTGGCCCTGGGTTTCAGTGGCCACATGATCGCAATGTACCTGTCCACGCTAATTGCCACCAGCGTGTATGCGCTCACCTGCTCGAAACAGTACAATATTATAATTATTATTAATTAGTCGGTGTTTAAAATATATAGTCGTCAGGTAAATTACGATCGGACGACGTGGGTTCAGCATGAAAAGGTTCTATGCCACAATGTCCAATTGTTCAGTTGACAATGAAAAGATTCTATATGTCACCGCAATAATATCCAATTGTTCAGCAGAGTGATTTTTACCTTTAATACCCGATATCGTTTTTTCAGGTTATCTTACGAATATAACCATAATTTAAATGAATAAATTAATACAATTGTTGTCAGATACATTGTGAATATTAAGTATTAGATATCCCAACATATTATAAAAACCAAAAAACTGGAAAAATAAAAATTCTCTGTATAGAACCTTTTCATTCCTCCAACTAAATCATAGAATATATATAGAACTTTTTTTTTATAATAATATTATACCTACTTTCATAAAAATATTGTACGATATCATTGTGATTTTTGTTTTTGTCGTATCATCGACATGTATTATTGAAAACGCCTTTTAATACTAACCAACATTGAATAACATGACGATAGAACCTTTCCACTCTTATGTAAACTTATCAGAATAAAAAAGTTCTATCAAACTACGACTGTAATCACGACTCACTCCGATTCAGTAATTTTTCATGACATAGATAACCTTTTCATTTTCTGTATCTCACTAAGTATTGTATCTAGAAACACAATTTTTGAAAAAAATTGGACATAGAACCTTTTCATTTTCAGCCCTCAACACGTTGATTTACATTTTACATAATAATATTACTATCGTCCGATAAACGACGGAAAAGGTATCCGATACTCATTGCTGCACCGTTTTAAACAAACGATTATTGTTTTCTTTTGCAATAACAATAACTATATAATATTATACTATATAGCACTATCGTGTTATTATCAAATAAATCATATCGATGACAACATTTATTATATTTATCACTTCAAAGCCGAACAAAACACGAATCATCAATGGCGGTAGCTATTATATTGGTCATCATAATTAGTGTTGTGGTGAAGTGGAATATATTTTTATAGGGTCATTCATTTTTTCAACGACTTATCAGCACTTGGCTTTTACGCAGTACCCCCCCCCCCCCCCCCACCCAATTGGCCATTACCCACTTAGCACGAACAATATAGGCATACCAAAAATATTGTTTTTCTTTATATTTTTGAACACTGTAATTTAATTATTAAAATTACTATAAAAAATTACACCTATAGTAATTAATATTAAGACAATTGTTATTATTTTTTATTAAATATCATATTCGGATGAAGCTAGTCTTGTTCTATCACTATCGTATTATTATCAAATAAATCGTATTGATGACAACATTTATAATATTTATAATAATATCTCACTAAATCCGGTACTCACCTTCCTACCCACCACTTTCGAATCATCGTCCAACTGTCCTTCAAAATCACGGTCGAGTGCACTGGTCATAAAATTTTGACAGTATTTTTTACAATATATAACTTTTAGGAAATGATTAATGTAATTTATATAGTTTTCATTTTTTTATTTTCTCCACACAACAATTTGATTCAGAACATATATTTCTTTGATTAAAAATAACGAAACTACTATTATTTCAGATTAAAATTTATTTCGTACAAATCTCATCAAAGTTTTTTCAAGTCAAATTCATGTTAAAAATTCTTAAAGATCTACGGATTAGAACTTTTGACAAACGAAAGTGCCACATTGAAGTGCTGGAATTTCAATTAACATTTTTCAATAATAAATTGTAGAAGATTATGTCAAAGTAGGTATTTAAATGTGCATGCATGTAAAATGTAAAATAGCTTATAAATATTTTCAAACTGATAAAATAATAACTTAAGAGATTTGATATTATATTTATTCAACTTATGTTTACGTAGGTAATTATTTGTATTTTAGCGCTTTATAAAACTTTGATTTTTCATAAATTAATTATATTTTTGCTGTTTGTTTGATAGTTTGAATTTTGAATAATCCCCTGCAAATTTAATAAATGCTTTAAGAATTATCACCGTTATAGTTTTACTGAATTATTTTGAAAATCTCGTCTTTTTTTTTAAAAATACGATGGTTTTTCAAACTAAAAATGATTATAAAAGTCTGGCTTACGCCATCGTGAGTGATGTGAATCAGGCGATTAATCACCGACCATGTTATGGGTACTTTGTAATTGTTTTCTGCTTTTATTAACGAACATAATTATTTTTATTTTTTAATATTTATTCCAAATCTCCTAAAGTTGTATGACACGTCCAGTCCCTAATGTACTCAGAGTTTCAGATGTCAAAGTATTATAGCTGGAAACACTGTAAGGATATAATGTTTAAACTTTCATTAAGGGTTAATGGGTTTTGAACTGTACATGTTCGTTTAAATTGCAAAGTGTAAGCTGTAAAATAGAATTCATAGTTTGGAATTCTTAATGTCTATTGAATGTGGTCATTTTCAAGGCTTATATAATAGAGAGAAGCTTATATGGTTTTAGGTTGTGTTTGTTTAATAAATTGAGGTTCTACTTAACCATCGTTTTTCATTTTTTTTTTTGCATTTTGATAGCGGATGCATAATGAATCGAAGGGATCATGCATTTTAGGTGACTATCAATCTGAGCCAACAGTTTTGAACGTTGTCCATTTGGCGAAAGTCACTTTGCTGTTATTTAAAATTTGGTACGACATTCAGTAATTTAAAGTTTTAGATAGGCTCTGCCTACTGAAGTAACCGTAGAGGATCACACACGTCACACTATTGAATGACTTTCAAGATTGATCAAAGATAATTTGTGAACGAAAATCTACAATACAACATATTTTGAGACATGTTAAAACGAAAAATATGACGTTTTACTTTTAATCATAATTTCATTAAGTCAATATTATACGTTTTTAAAATATGTCAGCCAGCAGTTATTTACCTATTTTGCCTACACAGCACACCGTCATACAAATTATGCAAAAAATAACTGCGTAAGATAGAACACTCGCTGAGAACTCTGGGATACCATAAAATTGGTTTAATATCCAATAATATTATTGTGAGATTGAAAATAATGATACCATTGAAACAACCAAAAAAAATAATATTATTGATCAGTTTACTAAAATGTTCGTTGGATAAAATCTAATAACAACATCCCATTTTTGATACTATATTTTACAATAATATGCAGTCTTGTAAAAGATATTTTTAAAAGAATTTAAGTACTGATACGGATAATTATTTTGATGAGTACTTGATTACTAAGTAAGAAAGTATTTATGTATAAATACAAAAACTTAAAAAGAAACTATTTTTTAGACATTTTCAAAGACAAACAATTTTTTTTTTTTATAATTTTCATGACTTACATTTATTTATTAACGTCAATCGGCAATTACATAGTTGTTAATGTAAAAACAAGTTATTGAAAATTATGACATAAATGTAAAAATTATTAGTCATATAGATAATAATAAAAAAATTAATAAACTAACAATTTATAAAAATCATAAAAGAGAAAAGAAAAACTAAGAAAATATTACAGAATTCTAATTGTTATGTATATACAGCGATATCAAATAGTAAAAGTGTGGTAATAAAACTAAGATAAAAAGAAATAGTATTTAGTATACACTTACATTAATTGTATAGAATCTATTTTTATACCATATCATTTGGGGTAACTGTAAATTACTTTTCTGTTTTCTTTGTCAAAGTATTTCAACTGTCGGTTAGGTTTAATTCATATGAAAAAAAAATTAATATTATTAAATACGAGTATACGACTATTACATGTGTTTAATTTTTTTATTTAACGTTTTTGGATTGTAAATATAAAATATATAAGCTGAGAAGGTAAAGTATTTGAAAATTAATAATTAATTTTTAATACAGAAACTTTGAGATAATGTTTAAAATAGTTTTACTGAATTACTTTTACTCAAGTATAATACATACTACCTACTTTATAAGACTGGATAATATATTATACATGATCGTTGTAATAATAATAGTTTTCCAGAGTAGTTTATATGATTTTACGCTATGTTTATTTGAATAAATTGAGGTTCTACTTAACCATCGTTTTTCTATTTTGTTTTTGCACTTCGTTAGTGGAAGCACAATAATGAATTTTAGACGACTTTCAATCCGAGCCAGCAGTTTTTAACGTTGTGCACTTGGTGAAAGTCACTTTGCTATTCTTCAAACATTGGTACAACTATCAGGAGCTTAAAGTTTTAGCTATAGGTTCCTTCTACTGAAGGAACCGAAGAGGATCCCACACGATTGAATGCCTTTCAAGATTGATTAAAGTTAATTTATGAACGAAAATCTACAATACAACAAATTTTGAGACACGTTAGAACAAAAAAAATGACGTTTAACTTTTCATCATCATAATATTTCACTACGTCAATATTGGATGTTTTTAAATTTCACACTGCATTGATGTACCTATTTTGCCTATACAGCACGCCGTCATACAAATTATGCAAAAAAAAACAGGATAGGATAGGACACTAACTGACAACTCTGAGATAGCATATATTGGCTTAAAGCTGTTGGAGCATAGAATATTTTAATTAGTAAAATTTAGGAAATCGTGTAAAAATATTATTGGAAAATATCTGTGATTGTGTGAGTAGTAAATGAAAATTGGTGTGTGTAATCTGAGCCATAACCGTGTTATCTTAAAAAACAGTTAAAATAGGTACAAAATAGCTATATAGTTTATGTACTTCCAGATGTCCGATTATTATTTTAAAAGTATCTATGAACTCATCATCTCCTTTACTAGGTTACGTAGGCAAAATAATTGATGTTTTAACACTGAATGTAAGTGTATAAAATAAAAATTATTTCATAATATTTTTAAATTTTAACATATTTTTGAAGCCTTATTGAATATAAAAATCAAAAATCTGTTTTCTACATAACCTAG